TAAGTTCAGTGAGCAGAGGATTCTCAGAACCAGGTACACATCTGATTGCCCATGTAAGTAAATACTCAAGGATCTGCCAAGTGGGTGGAAAGGGCGAAAACAAAAAAATTTTGCTTGTCCCGATTGATCTCTATGGATTACACAACTTCCACGCTTGATCTTAGCCAAAAGGCAGAGAAGCAATGGATTACACAACTTCTGATGGGTTGTTTCTTTAATAGATTCTGATGAATCATGACCCAAAACTCGTTGATAAGGACAAAGAATCACAGTTTTAGAGACAACAGAATATATTTAGGGATATTTTCCAACACTGGGTCACAATATGCCCCAGCCTCTTTTTTTTTTTTTTAAAGATTTAATTTTATTTATTTTTGGTTGCATTAGGTCTTCGTTGTGGTGCGCGGGCTTCTCATTGTGGTGGCTACTCTTGTTGCGGAGCACGGGCTCTAGGCGCGAGGGCTTCAGTAGTTGCAGCACTCGGGCTCAGTAGTTGTGGTCCACAGGCTCTAGAGCACAGGCTCACTAGCTGTGGCGCATGGGCTTAGTTACTCCACAGCACATGGGATCTTCCTGCACTAGGGATCGAACCCGTGTCCCCTGCAATGGCAGGTGGGTTCTTATCCACTGAGCCACCAGGGAAGTCCCCCCAGCCTCCCCTTACCTGAAAGAAATGAGACTTTGGGGAAGGTGACAGAGATCCTGTGTTGTGTTGCATGTGGGATGAGGAAGAGGGGAGTTAGAAGACTTTCTATGTCATTTCTGAAGGTACCCTGGGAAGGCAGGTGTAAAAAGAATTTGACATGGCCCAATTCAGTCACCCAGATCGGATGAAGCAGAAGGAGTTCCTTTTATTAGTTATTGTTATAGAACTCTTAATCGGCTTAAGACTTCTGGGTCTTTTAAAACCATTATCACAGAAACACGCAAACAGATCCTCTGCTTTCACTATCTACAGTACTGGAATCTGTGTGCTCAGGAGGAGTGGGAGTGGGAGTGGGTGATCAAGGCTGGGAGGGTGGCCCGTCGGTCTGGGTGCCCAGACAGCACTACTGCTGCTATTTGCTTCTGACCCTTGACCCTCCAAACTGCCCTTGTGAAAACTTGCCAATTCCCTCCTCCTAGTCCCCTTTCTCACTTCTGGGGTGAAAAAGAGAGAAAAGAAAAATCCGTGTCACTTTTCAGCCAAACCAATCTCTGGGTTTTATTCCAAACTACCTTCAGAGTTAAACGCATCTGTTTTCTCAGCCTTACTTCCCCAACAAGGCTCTCTCTGATCCACAGGTGGGAGCTCTGTGCTCAGGCAAATTCAGGCAGTGCTCAGGCAAATTCCAGCCTGGGACCTAAGGTGTTTACCACATTTCCTTATTTACTGCCACAAAGAGGCTAGGGCCACCTAACTTCTGTCATCTACATCTGTGGTTCCAGTAGTTTATGCTATGATCTCCTGCCTTAAGAAGATAGATTTTAAAAATAGGTGGAGATGTATGTTTAGCAATCTAAGTATATAAGTAAAGACACTGTGTATGACTCATTGGCACCCGTATGAATTTGTGGCCAAATGTCCTTTATAAAAAAAAACAGCTTTGACAGTACACAATGTGGCTACAGGATTTTTCTAACAAATGATTTTTGTTTTAATCTCCTTAAATTTGAAGTTAAAGCTGTTACATTCTAACCCAGTCTCAGGGCTAACTGGCTCAAGACCTCTGTGCCCAGTGATGCCCCACTTGACCCTCTCAGGGGGCAGTGTCCAGGTCAGGGAGCTATGCAGCTCCCTCCAAAGCCAGCTCTCCTACTGGCCAGCAAGCAAATTCCAAGGGATAGATAGGATTAAGGGCTCCAAAGAGGATTCCCCAGCCCTCCCCCAAAGGAGGATAAAAACTCTAGTCTAGTTCTGGAACAAAAATAAGCCCCAGCTAAGGAGAAAGTGCCTGTTTAGATAGCCGGTGGCCCTTCCCAAAGCTTGCACCCCTTCCAGACTGACTGGGCAGAGCCCTTTTCAATAGGCAAGGGTGTGCAGAAGTGTGCAATCGTGTGCTAAAAGAAAGCATGTTGCATGAACTTCTATTTGCACACTCTCCTAAGCTTAGGCTCCAAAGGATTAAGGTAATAAAAACTGCTTACCTCTTATTGCAATTTGTTTTCTCGTCTAGAAAACAAACCCAACACACACACACAGGCCAAAACACACTTCATTTCACCTCACCCTCTTTCCAAACTGCCCCACTCGGAGAATGGGAATCACTGGCAGGGGTGGGGACACCAAGCTCAGACTCAGTGTAAACACGCCCCTGCAGCACAGGCGGTAACCTATTAACTCGGAGGAATCTCCGCTCACTACGAACGGTTTTCTATTAATAGGGGATAAAGCTCCTGCATACATTAGCGGTAATGACCCGGTGGCCCGCGCAAAATTAACTCCTCCCGGGCCATCAAGAGGAAGCCATGTTCTGCCCAGGCAGATGTGTGCTTGAAACGCGCGTATAAACATACACGTACACACGCAGGGTTTTAGAACCGCTCCCCTTAAACATGCCAGATCCCACTCTCATCCCTAGTCCTGGCGGTTGCAGATGTTCTCTGAGGGGTGTCTCCGGGTAGCGAGTAGTGGCGGCGGAGGTCGTTCGCGTATGGGTCAACTCAGCTTCGCCACACACACGGCCAAGGCCACAGCCGCCAGCAGCACGGCGCTGAAGATGGTGGCGGCCAGGGCCTTGCTCAGGTCGCAGGGCCCCGTGCGCTGCTCTACGGACACACCGCGCATCGAGGAGACGTCGGCGCTGGGCCTGGCCAGGAGCTCGGCGCCTGCCGCCTGCCGGGCCTGCACCGTCCAGCGGGGCACGTTGACCTTCATCTCCATATCGTGGATCATCTCGCCCACCTGAAGGATCTCCCGCTCCAGCTGGTGAAGGTCTTCCACGTCGAAGCCGCGCTCCGCCTCGTGCCGCAGGCTGCGGGCGCTCAGGGCGCGCGCCGCTACGTTCGCTGCGCCGCCTTCCACCCCGGTACGCACGAGCGGCCGCAGCGGCTTATTCAGCGGGAACTCGGTGCCCAAGGTCAGCGCACGCCGCATGTCCGCTTCCAGCAGGTCCAGGCAGCCAGAGAAGGCCACCCAGAGGCGCTCGAACTCGGCACGTTCCTCAGCGCCCAGGCCCCGGTCGCGCAGCGGAGCTGTCAGTCGGGCGCGGATGGCCACCGCCAGCTCTTGCGCCTTCTGGCGCGTCTTCTGAAGCTCCTCTCGCAGGTTCTGCGAGTCCGCGGAGCCGCCGACGGTCAGTACCAGGTGGTGGTAGCATGCAGTCGCCTTATTGAGCGCGTCCAGTAGTGCCTTGCACTCCTCCTTCGCCATGGCGCTGCTCTCCGGCGCAGCCCGGCCGCCTGCGCCCCTCTCAGCCTCACGCCCTCAGTACAGCAGGACACAGCCAGCCCCGACGGCGTCCCCTGGACAGGCGGCCCGAGCACTCCTCATGGCCTGAGAGGAGCTAGCCACTGCCGCTGCTGTCTACAGAGCCGCTCAGGATCCACGACGTGCGCTTCCGCGGACTCGGCGCGGAGAGAGAGCCCCGTTAGCTGTTTCCCGTCCCCTCGTCCATCCTCCCCAGGTGCCCTCCTAGTCACACGCCGAATCTCTGCGCAGTCCTCGCCTCCACGGTAGCCACCCGCGAAGCCCGGGTTGCGGTCGCCATCCTCCTCCGGTGCAGTCGCCAGGGCTAGCGGGCCGCGGAGCCGCGCCCTCCGCCTTAGCTGCTGCCAAGGGCGGCCGGGTAGGGTTTCTTAGGATCCGCCCACCCCCTCCCGTCCTCGCTGGGCGCTTTCATCCCCTGGACCAGGGATAGGCGGGGCCCCACGCGGGAGGTCACGTGTAGGTCCCCCATCTCCCCCTCCGCACCCCATTACGGTCTGGAATATTAGCGCTCGTAAGATCCAATCCTCTGTTTTACGGAAGGGGAAACTGAGGCTCGATAAAAAAAAAAAAAAGGGGGCTAAGATCACGCCACGTCCATGCAAGTGAAGAGGCTAGAACCCAGATACCCTGACTCTTAGACCCTGCCAGCGACGGGAGTGGTATGCCTCGTAGGATTGGGCACCTCCGTCTCCCAAAACGAGCAGTAAAGGGCGATCTGCGGGGCGGGACGGCTCCCAAAATCTCCCCTTCCTAGTCCAGCCCGCTTTCCAGCAACAGAGCTTGGACCCCACCCCTTGGATCAGATCTGCTCTCGGCCCCGCCCCCTCCCGTTCCGGGCACGCGCAGTCGGTGGCTCTGGGCTGGTCCAGCCTGAGTAGGAAGTGCTGTGTGCCTCCTGAGCCCCACCCCCGGCTGGGCGGACTCAATGATTGCTCTGCGCACGCGTCACTCTGAATAAAGGCGACCTCTCATTGGGCTGACCAGAGATCTTGAGGCGCGGCTCCGCCCGACGGGGGTGGGCGGTGGAGCAGATCTGCGGCGTTGGGGTGGTGGGCCTGAGGTCTGAACCGAGGGGCCGGGAGGGGGTCGGCGCCGCTCTGGGAAGAGCGGGGAGTGAAACTATGTAGCCTTTTAAGTAAGTGTCCTCCCTCCTGTCTCCTCCCGCGCCCTCCTTCCCTCGGGACTGCTGCGCCTCGGGGCCCAGAGGCCGGGCGGGGCCCCGGAGCTGGAAGGGGGAGGGGCTCTTTCCTTTCCTCAGCCGGCGCCCCAAGCTGGGCTGGCGGCCTCCCGGGCGGCCTCCAGGGCCCCGGCCCATCGCCGGGTGGACTGCCCCGCCCGGGCTCTCCGGCTCCTGTCCTCAGCCGGGCTCGCTCTGCCCCTCTGGTGTGTTTGCGGGGCTAGGGGTGGGGTTGGCGAAGAATGTGCCCTCTGACTCCCGCGGCTCCAGGACAGGTCAGCAGGTCCGGGATCCCGGGAGCTCAGACTTGGGGCACCACTGTCGTTCACGGGCTGGGTGGCCTCCGCGGTTTAAGGGAGGCCTGGCGGGGCGGGTGGAGGGGAGGGTGGGGGTGGGGGTCCGGAGCATCGGGTCGAGCTGTCGTGGTCCCCGCGGTAATAAAAGCGCGCGGGAGAGAGGAGGGAATCCCTGCTAGCCTGCCTCTCATGGGGCGGGGTCTCGTCTTCCTCCTGGGTAAAGATTTCTCCAGGAAAACTATGAAGCACCAAGAGGTGTTCCGGACTCTGGGTCTGTTCACTTCTTTTCGTTGAAAATGGACTGCCCGTAGGCTCGAGAGGAAGGCCGTGCCGCTCTGGCCGACTCTGGAGGTGCTGGGGACGTGGGCACTCGCGGCCCGTGCAGGGCCACGGGAGCAAGTGGCGCGTCTTCATTGAGGATTTAGGACATTGAGGGAATGAGGGGCAGGGGAGACTGTAGGGACTATTAGTTTGCCATGCGAGCTGGAATTTTCCAAGTCTGTGGGTTTTAGGGAGAGAGGCCCCTATTTTGATTAAGTAATGTACCCTCCCACCAGCCCTAGAGAAGAGCGGCATCTCATTAGCGGGATATTTACATTTCCAGGCCGCCTTGCCGGGCCTGATGTTGAGGCAGCCCCCCGGCGTCCAGAGCGCTAGGTTCAGGGCTCGTTCTCACTCAGCAGTCTGTCCTTTAATTGGTTGTTTCACTGGTGGTTTGTGGCCAGGGTTGGGTGGTACTCTGGCCCTTGGCCATTCTCTGAGTTGGAGGGTCCCAGCCACCTATGGGCCAAATGGGGCCTTGACAGAGGAAGAGTAGTTTTTAGGACAAAATCGGTAAAAGAAGGGAGAGCGCATCTCTTTGGGGAGCTCTGGGGACAGCAGAGGGAGATGAAGCTGCAGAGGTGGGCAGGAGGCCAGGAGTGAGAGGCCCTCCATGCCATGCAGAGAAGTTGAGAGTTCATCTGGTAGGGAGTGGAGGGGAAGTCATTGAAGAATCCTGCACAGACTTCAGTGTTGGAAAGATCACTTTGTGTCTTTCAGGTGGACAGGTCTGTGGTGAATCAAGAGGCAGGGCCTGTCGGCCTCAGAGGGAGAAGTGCAGGATGGGAGGAGACACAGGTACTTCTCAGGAGCCCTAGTGGCAGGAAAACAGTTGGGCCGCTGAAGCTGGGTGGATACCTTGGGTGAGTTCTCCTCACCTTGGCTTGTCACCTGAAATAATCCCACCTGGTAGCACTGCCGGGAGAGCAGCAGTAAGTGTCTGCATAGAGCCTTGGGTCAAGGTCTCGATTGTGCCTCCTTGTGGCTCTTGGACTGTGTTGCCCTCATGAGGGTGGCTGCTGGGGCTTTGCTCTTCACATGTCTGCCTCTGTTAGTGTTTCTGTCAGGGCTGTCCCTCTGTTTATGAAGTGCCAGGATTAGGTGGGTGTCCAGTAACTTCCTCCTTTCCTAGGGGAGCAGGGGAATGTGACCATGCGATGATAGGTACCAGATCTAGAAAGGATTCAGACCCGAACAATTGGACATGATTTGTCCTGAGGTTGCTTCCACATCCGAGAGACACTGAGCAGTGGTCCTTGGAGTTCCTGCCCTCCTGCCCAAAATACTGGCAGGGATGTGGGTGCTGGTGGCTCCCCTGCAATTCTAGGAGCAGGGTGATGGAGTGGCATTCCAAGGGGCAGTTATGCTCCTCCAAACTTCCCCCGCTCTGTGAGTGGTCACAGCCCTCTTCCAGCCCTGAGGCCTTCTCTCCTACCGTGATCTTACACATTCCAGCAGTCATTGTGTTTAGCCAGCTCTGAGCATGTTCGTTTTTCTGGCTTTTGGCCAGTGCCTGCAGGACCGCCTGGGGCCAGCCCCTCACCCTCCCCTGCGTCTGGGCGGTGGATTTCCAGCTTCTGTGACAGATGATCCCTTCCTGGGAGCTTGATCTTTTTCTAACACGTCACTATCATTTTGTTCAAGTGGGGTCAGCAGTTACTGCATGCCTGCAGTGAGCCAGGCAGCGAGGCTGCATAGTGCTTTGAAGAAGAGCTTTGAGAGACATATGGGCAGGAGCCATAGACATTACAGGCCAGAAGGACACAAGTGACGGTAGTACCACACGTTACATCATAAAATTGCTTCCATTTGGTATTAAACATAGATGGATAAAAAGTTTTCCCTTTAGGCCTTTTCCTTCTGAGTCACAAATTAAGCCAGTTGGAGAATATGCCTGGTCGGGGTCTTTGGTCAGAGCCCTGGCAGGGCAGGAGAAGCCACAGCAGTGAGATTTCAGCAGGGAGTGCATCTCTGGGAGGTGCAGACTTTCCTGGGCTGGATTCTGCTGAGCCAGGCTGCACGCTGTCACCAGATGGTCCCTGACAACCCAGACTCATCCGGGCTGGCAGGACGGTTGAAGACCACAAAACCACGAGTGCACACCGCCTCCTAAAATGCCCAGAACCGGTCTGAGGCCTCACTTGGCGGTCTTGTTCAGAGTAACCTCAGATAACTCACGTGCAGGGTTATTTGGTATCTCTGACTGACTTCACTGGATTTTCTATAAATCATTCCATCATTTGCACTTAGGAAGGGGTGGAATTTTTTTCTTTAAGGAGTTTTACATATGAGGATTCACATGTCTTTCCAGTTTTACAAGGAAAAGTCAGTTTACTTTACATGTTATTCAATATTTTAAAATATAAAACCAATTCTTGCAAGTAAACTTGTCAGATTATTTTAAAGCACGTACACCTATATAAGAATTCAACTCTGGCATTAAGCATTATTACATATTTTTAACACTGGGACAGAAAGGTCGAGAACAGTGCTGGACAGAGGTCTCTGAATCCCTACTCCTGGACAGAGGATCCAGTCATTGGCATCCAGGAGACTGATGCCCAAGAGAGAGCAGATGACTTGGATTGAAAACCAGCCAGCTCCATCTCATTCACGAGCAATGCTTGCTGAGAGTCTTGTGTGTTTACACCATTCATGCGTTTGAACTGAATGTTTTAATGTGGCATTCAGGGCCCTTCCCTTCCCATGCTGCCCCTCTCTGACCTGCTCTGTTTGGATTCTTAATATTTCTCAGAGCTCATTTTCACATCTAGTCAAAAAAAGTTTATTCTTGAGTTTTCTTTGCTCACCAGGAACCTGTTCCCGCCTCCTGACCCTTTGGCCCTGCTCTGGTCCCTGCCAAGGATGCCTCCCACCCTCCGCACCCCAAACCCTTCCCTGTTGCTCCCTTCTCTATCTCGTCCTTACCTCTCCTGGCACTGTTCTGTTTTTGTTTTGTTTTATTATTATTATTTTTTAACTCTTCTTGCTTCCCAGTTAGGTGGTTAGTTCCTCCATCAAAGCCCATCTTGGGGGCAGGGGTGTTGCTGCTCTGCCAGCATCTTGTCTGAGGAGCAAGGAGGAGTGTCCCTTCCCAGCTTTAGTCTGACCTTGTCGCATCCTGTTTCTCATGTGGTTTTTATGTAAGGCATCTTTACTTTTGTGCTCCGCCATTGTAGAACCAGCTGTGTCGGGAACTAGGAAGAATTTTGTTTTCTTGTGACCCTGTCCTAGCAAAATTATATTATCCAGTTGTTCTGGTAGAGACTCATAAAATGATTATCTGGGTTCCAGTAATAATTGAATTCAACAATTCAAATACCTGAATGGTTGCAGAGCTGGGGCCTGTGAAGGGATTATACGTAGCCATTTTCATGCTAGGCTCTTCTCCCTAAGAGGATCTGCAGGGAGCTCAGGGGCCTTCTTTAGGCAGTCCCCAGGATGGCTTGCAGCTAAGACAGCTCAGGCTGGACCAGACCGAGGGAATTTGATGCTGAGCCTGTGTGGCTGTCATGGGGACTTTTCCTTTAGGAGAAATGAAGTGTGGAGTCTGTGCATCTGTGGCTCATGAAATAACCCCTAATCCAGGCATAATTATTTTACATGATGAGTGTAGTGGTTAAAGGGATGGGTGTTAGAATAAATTCTGACATCTGTCTAACCTGGAGTTGGCCAGCTGACCCTCAGTTTCTTCATCTGTGACATGGAGCTAATGATACCTATGGTTATTGTGAGCATTAGTTATAGTTAATTATCTATGGTTATTGTGAACATTAAAATGGGATGAGGATGTATAGATGTCATCACGGTGCCTGACCAAGGATGCTCTCAAATGGTGGCTGTTTTTAACATTAGCTATAAGGAATAGAATTCATAATGCACTTATGCGTACTGTTCTGGTGTTTTCCCAAAGAGGTGTTTGGGAATACTGTTACATAATGAGAAAGTAATTCAGTTTTTCACTCATATTTCATTCATCTGATTGTATCAAGGGTAAGTTTACTTGATGCTCTTTAATAGTTGCTAATTTTCTTCTTTTAATGAAGAGAAGAGGCCTCAGGCTCAAGTTCAGAACCTTTGGCAGGCAGTGGTATGTAGCCAGATTTTAAATAATGTCAATTGGATATACAATTTTAAATTTTAAGATGATCTTAATGGGAAGTGATACTATTTTTCCATTTAAAGTAGTAATAAGAGTTCTTTTACAAATAAATTTTAAATGGGAGTAGGTGTTTGAAGGAAAATGTCAAACTTTAACAATAGGGCCATTGTGCACAAGTGTACAGGTTATTTATTGCACAGGTGTCCTGCCCGGGGGAGGAGAGGTGTTGGCAAACTAGGCTGATATATATAGCCTATGAATTGCTTACTAAGCCATGTGCCGTGGCACAGGACTGTACCTACTGGGAAGATGGGGTGCCTTTTTGTAATTCTCACAAAGGCACCATGTGGGCTAGCAGAAAGTGGCAGTACATTGGTGTGCAGTGTAGCAAAAATAGTGAAGGTAGCATGTAAATGGGAATCCTGCAAGACAGGTATTCATATTCTCCATTGTACAGACTAAGATGGAGGCTCGGAGAGGTGAAATGACATGGCTAAAACTCTGACTTCTTTTCTGTGCCCATTTTTCATATTCCTCTCTCACAGTTCAGTAAAACCACACTGATGTATGGTAAGGGGAGCAGACCAGGGGCATTGGAGGCCCCATTCACAACAGGAGCAAATCTATACAGAATATATAAATAATGTCTAATAAAAGTTTTATATGATCTATGATCTTTAATGAAGAAAATTTAATTGGAGGACATAAAAGAGGATGAAGGTGGAAAGATATACCATGTTCATGGATGATAAGATTCATTATTATAAAGACGTTGGCTCTCCAGTCCATAAATTTAGTACAGTTCCAATAAAAATCCCAATAGGAATTTTCATGGAATTGATAAGCTGACTCTAGTTCATGTGATATCATAAAGAATTAGGAATAACCAAGTAATTTTGGAGAACAAGGGGAGAGGCCTTCCTCTATGAGATGTCAAGGCTTATTATGAAGCTGTAGTCATGTAAATGAATGTGGTCTAGCCCTTCCCCATCCAATGTAATAGCTACTAGCCACATGAGGCTATTAAGCACTTGAAATGAGGCTAGTATGAATTGAGGAGTAAAATACACATCAAATTTTGAAGAGTTAGTAGAAGTAAAAAGAATGTAAAATATGTCAATAATTTTAAAGTATTGATCACATGTTGGAAATGTATTTTGGCTGTATTAGGGTAAATAAAATATATAATTTAATTTCACCTTTTTAAAATATGGCTACTAGAAAATTTTAAATAACATGTAATTATGCATAATGTGTATGTAATTACCTTTCTCACATAAATTTGTTGGATGGCGCTGGTCAAGACCATTGAAACAGAATAGAGCCCAGAAATAGGCCAAACATATATGGGAACTTGGAGTATGACAAAGGCAGCATTATCAGCTAGTGTGAAAGGGATAAAATATATAAAAGATGATAATGGGAGAGTTGGCTTATGCTATGGACTGAATGTGTCCCCCCAGCCCCAACCCAAATTCATATGTTGAAGCCCTAATCCTTAATGTGATGGTATTTGGAGATGGGGCTTTGGGTTCTAACTGGGGCTAGATTAGGTCATGAAGATGGGGCCCTAATGATGGAATTAGTCACCTTACAAAAAGAGGAAGAGACAGGAGAACTCTTTCTCTGCCATGAGGATACAGTGAGAAGGTGGCCATCTACGGTACAGGAAGTGGGCCCTTACCAAGAACCAAATCTACTAGCACCTTGATTTTGGACTTCCCAGTTTCCAGAACTGTGAGGAATAAATGTTTGTTGTTTGAACCCCCCAGTCTATTGTATTTAGTTATCAGAGCCTAAGCAGACTAAGATAGCTCACCTTCAGAAAAAAATTAAATTAGATGCCCAATTTATAGCATATATAAAAATAAAGATGACTTGAAGACCTAAAAATGAAAACCTTTAAGATTCTTAGAAATTACAGGGACTATTTTTGTGGCCTTGGAGTTGAAAAGGATGTGGTTTCAGGTAGCCTTTGCTGCATAACCAACCAGCCCCCAAATTAGTGACTTAAAACTGCTACAATTTATTATGTCCTATTAATCTGTGGGCTGGCAAGGTGGTTCTTCTGCTAGTCTCACCTGGGCTCACTCATGTGGTTGCATTCAGCTGGTGGGTTGGCTGTCCTCACTGGACTACCTGGGCCTCTCTCTCCCCACATGGGTTTTCATCCCATGGGCTTCTCCATTGCATGGTGGTCTCAGGGTGCCGAACGAATGAGAGTGAAATTTGCAAGGCCTCTTGAGGTTGATACTCAGAAATCACAGAGCATCAATTCTGTCTGTCGGTTAGTTAAAGCAAATCACAGGGATGGCTTAAATTCAAGGGGTGGGGAAATAGACCTCACCTTCTCAGAGGGGGAATAGTGAAGTCAGTTTAGAAAGGGGCATGCCGAGATGATAGATAGGCTTTCCTTAGATCCCCAAAGCACCGACCAGTAAAGGCAAAGACGGACAGGTTCAATCACGTTAAAATCAAGCACTTTTTGAGAGAGTGGCATGGACATATATACACTACCAAAAGTAAAATAGATAGCTAGTGGGAAGCAGCCGCATAGCACAGGGAGATCAGCTGGGTGCTTTGTGACCACCTAGAGGGGTGGGATAGGGAGGGTGGGAGGGAGACGCAAGAGGGAGGGGATATGGGGATGTATGTATATGTATAGCTGATTCACTTTGTTATACAGCAGAAACTAACAACAATGTAGAGCAATTATACTCCAATAAAGATGTTAAAAAAAAAAATCAAGCACTTTTATTTCTGAAAACACCCAGTAGGAAAAATGAAGAAACAAGTCACAGATTGGGAGAAGATATTTGCAACATCTTTTGGTGTCCAGATATGTAAAGAACTACCAATCATAAGAAAAAGGCCAAGAACCCATTAGAAGAGTGGTCAAAAGACATGATAAGGTAATTTATAGAATGTAAGGAAATGATGTTCCACTTCATTAGAGAAATGAAAATTAGAAACAGTGAAATACTATTGTATACTCAGACTGGCGGAAATGAGCTAGCCTGACGTTACTAAGAAGCGTTGGCTAGGATGTGACATGAAGAAGGGAAATGCTCATTGACTTTGCATGGAGGTTGGAAGTGGTCCAGCATTGTCAGCATCTGGGGAAGGTGCAGGTGGATGCATGCCGCAGTGTCTCTCCTAGCGACATTCCTGGATGTGTGCTCCAGGAACACATAAGGGTATAAGAACGTTCATTTTAGCATTGTTTTTAATTCTGAAAATGTGGAAGCAACTTAAGTATAGGATGTTAGATAAATAAATTGTGTCATGTTCACTTATTACTGTACAGCAGAAATTAGTGAATGAATGGGAGCTGTATGGATCAGCACGGCTAGAACTTGAAAGCATAATGGTGATTGAAAAGCGTATGTTCCAAACTAGTAGTGTGATACCATTTATGTAGATTTTGGAGCCCATAAAACAAGACTTTAGGACTTCTCTGGTGGCGCAGTGGTTAAGAATCCGCCTGCCAATGCAGGGGACATGGGTTCGAGCCCTGGTCCGGGAAGATCCCACATGCCGTGGAGCAACTAAGCCCGTGTGCCACAACTAATTAGCCTGTGCTCTAGAGCCGCAAGCCACAACTACTGAGCCTGCGTGCCACAACTACTGAAGCCCACACACTTAGAGCCCATGCTCCGCAACTAGAGAAGCCACCACAATGCGAAGCCCATGCACCACAACAAAGAGTAGGCCCAGCCCGCCACAACTAGAGAAAGCCTGTGCACAGCAACAAAGACCCAACACAGCCAAAAAATAAATATTTTAGAAAACAAGATTTTATATTACTTATGAATACATGAGTTTAAAAAGGAGTACAAACATGAGCAAGAAGGGTACAGAAACCACTTCAGGATAGTGGTTGCCTCTGAAAGGGGAGGAGAGAATGGGATGGGGAGGGGCACATGGGGGATCCAGTCTACTCTGATATACTTTATTTCTGAAAAGAAAATCTGAGGCAAATATGGCAAAGTGGTAAGATTCGGTAATTCTGGGTGGTAGATTAGCATTATTACTCTATGGTAAAAATATTTCATTAAAAACATGCATATCTTTAAGATGTTATTATTTGGGTCATGTATGATGTTCTAAAAACAGCCATTTTTTACTTTTGCAGTGACTTGGAGTCAAGAAGATTTTCTGAGCATAATTTATACATTTAACCTGTAAAAAAAGTCATCTTGGAATTGGTGGGTTATCTTTGATCTTTCCTGATGGCGTGTTAGGTCTGTAGTGTAGAGTAATATGTGTCAGGGATGCTTTTTAGAAATTGTTAGATCAGGACTTTTATGTGTTAGGTCATTCTGAAAGTGGTCATTTACTGCTTTTTCCTCTCTCGTCCCAGGAGACTCTTTTTGCCCCATCTGAAGTCCATATGGCTCTGTATGATGAGGACCTCCTGAAAAATCCCTTCTATCTGGCTCTTCAAAAGTGGCGTCCTGACTTGTGCAACAAGGTGGCCCAAACCCGTGGCATTGTAAGTGCATCGATTCCGAGGGTGGTCCTTCTCCACTAGGCTTGGACCGAGCAATGCTGACAAGGCCACAAATATGGTAGACTTCAGTTAAGTTTAGAGGGAGTCGGGTACAGGCCTGCTAAGTGCACCAAGCCCCAGACCATGCTCCGCATGTGAATGAGCAGAGAGGGACCGTCCCAAGCTGCTTCCTCCAGGCAGCCTCCTGGGACTGCACCAGCCCAGGGTGTAATCCTTTCTCTGAACTCTCAGCCCCTGTTGTCACTGGTCTCACGGAATTCACCTCTGTTTCTCTTGTTTCCATGGGGACCAGGAGGGCTTCTCCAGTGCAGAAATCATATTCCTCCTTGTCTGTGAGATGGGTGCTCACTCCCACAGGATAAGGGAACGTGTATACACACACATGTATGTCGCCTTCAAAGGCATTTCCTAAAGAGAAAGAACCGAGAGAACTTTTGTAATAGAGGCCACAACCTCAGAAGCCTACAGGAGCAGCCAGGGAACAGGAGCAAGAGAAGAGAGAAACCATAGTCTGCTGCCTGGAGGGAGGGCAGGCCCCGTGCTGCAGGTCTTTCTGGCTCCCAGATTGGTGAACTTGGCAGGCATCTTACCTACACACCGTGGGACACAGCGAGCTGGGTGCCTTTGTGCCACCCATCTGCCTTGGGCCCTCTTTTCCTGTGTTGTCCTCTTTTCTTCTCCTACTTGTGTTCCTGCTTCTCTTGCCATATGATACGATCTTAGGTGTGTCAGGCGGCTGAGGATTTGAACCAATGGAGAAATCCGTTAACTCGGGTTTCTCTGCAAGCTTGGAACTGGCTTTTCCCCTACCCAGTCCAACTCTCTGCCTTCAGAAGCCTGATTTTTTTCAAGTCCCTTCTTGTTTTTATGATTGGTTTTGTGATTAATATCTTTTACCCAGAATTTTTTTACTTTGGATTTTAGAAGTCATAAACTTCGTTATAAAAAAAATTAGAGAGTAGAGCTGTTTCCAGAGAAGAAAATAAAAATCTCATAAAGCTCACCAAAGGCATTCACTGTCATCCATTCATTTCACAGTAGCTATTAAATGCTGCTGTATGCAAGGCACTATGTTTGATGTGGGGATTCAGCCAAAACCATGAATAGGCATCATGATCTTTACCCTCACGGAGCTGAAATTCTAGTGGGAGAGGTGGTCACACTGTGGATACATATTGAGTAATTATGGTAAGTGTCACAGAGAAAAAGTAGGGGAAGCCAAGCCATCATGTTAAATGGGAGGGCCTGACCCAACTTGGGAAATACTTCCTTCCCATCTTTGTTCTATGATATTTAAAAAAAATATTGTCTAGATAAGAGTGTGTCATCATATGTAACTTTCTCTTTTTAAAATGCTACACTGCGAACCCCGCAGTTCTTTCTCAGGAAGCCCTGGGGGACCTGTCTGTCTTGCTCATCGTTGCCAGCCCAACACTGGGCGGGGGGTGGGGTGGGGTGGGGGGCGGGGGGGGGGGGGGGGGTGTCGAATGGTATGTGATCAGCTTGTACACAGTTCTCCGATTGGCTGATGGCCAGGCAGCAGGGTGGTGTCACAGGGGTTATCAGTCCTTAGGCTTCAAGAGGCCTGGGCTATGTGCTCATGGTCCTCTAGTAGTTCTTCCATTTGCGGGGTGGGGGTGGGGGTGGGGGTGGGTGGTGGTGGCGGTTCACACCTGCAAAACAGCTCAGGAGATTTGCAGAAAGATGCTTCTTAAGCTGTGTCATCCTGCATTCCAGTGGTGCCCTAGGCCCCTTACTGCAGCCCCCACTGAGATCCATTAGGGGCTGCTTGGGGCCCACACTGGGCAGCACTAGATTTCGGGCCTTCCTTGGCCTCGTTCGGTGGACTCAAGAATCAGCAAGGCCAACTCCTCAGCACAGGTCAACTGTGGGAAGGAGCTAGCTCTCGCCATCCCGCTCAGCCTGGCCAGGTGTTGGTGACTAGCCCCTGCCAACTGTTGGCCGTGTGATGGAGCCCCAGCTCATCCCTGTCTAATCTGTTGTAGTGCTCCTTCCGTGTCTGTTCGTTGAATGAAACAGTAGAGTATCCCAGTGGCCTCTAGAAGAGCGCTCATCCTTTCTGCCACCGCTGAAGGACCCACGTGGCCTCAGCAGGTGAATGCTGAATTTCCTTCCATGGGGCTTGGCCTTTGGGCCAACTTTGGCGGCCCCTGAATCTTCCCTGGGGATTAGAGTCCTTTAGTGGGCTCTAAAAATGTGAAGTCACGACTTTTGAATGTGTGTATCCCCAGGGTTAACTGCCTTCCCCCTTACCCCTGCGAGCCGAGTTTGGGCCCTGCCCTCACAGGCCGGCTGAGGGTGGAGGTTGGCGGGCCTCTCACCTGCCCCAGCCCCTCCCCGGGTTTGGCCGCCTTTGATGGGACTGCCTCCACGTCCTCCACCGTCCGCTCTCTGACTGATCCATGGAGGCTCCTCTCCCAACGTCCCCCCATTCCAAGCCCAGAGGCCTGTGACACCCATACACGGCTTCTCATGGTCACCTGTTCTTGTAACCCTCCAGCTATTATGCACCGTGGCTTTTTCAGAGCCAGCTGGGCAGGCCTGCTGTACCCCTGGGTCTCTTGTCCATGGAGCTATGGCAAATGTTCTCTAGGTTTCCCTGGTGGACTGCAGGTGGGTCCATTTGCCTGTAGGAAAAACAAAAATGACAAAAGGGGATTAAATTTGGTCCTTTTATTGTGGCCCTCTAATTATGGGGTACTCGGGCTTCTGAGGGCTAGCCTAAGAGCCCAGCAGCAATGGCTTCCACGTTCCGGAGAACTGACTTTCCAGTAAATACCCATACTTAGCTGAGCTAAGGGTGCTGAGGTCCATATTCCAGTTCTCAGGATTTGTTTAGTATAGGTTGAGGTGACAGACATTGAACATCTAGGCACTGTGCTGGGTCTGCAGGGTTACACGGATGAAAGGGGAACGCAGCATGCCTTCAGGGAATCCCAGAAGCAGGCCATTTGCAGCACAGAGGGATGAGTATTAGGACAGAAGTGGTCATGGGCTCCTGTGGAGTGGCTGACCCAGCCTGGGGAGGAGTCAGGAGGGCACCCTGGGGTGATAAGAGTAATGCTGCTTCTTGCTTTTGTTCTTTCTTTTCTTTAATGACGATTACTTATTTAAAAAATTTTATAAAGGGGCTATAATAAAAAAGTTTTATTGTTAAGCTCTGAACTGAGTAGGTCCCTAACTTATGGTCTGCTTGGTCACTGTAAAGTTTGTGTCCTCCACACCGGCTGTTAAAACTCCATGACCTCGGGACTTCCCTGGTGGCACAGTGGTTAAGAATCTGCCTGCAATGCAGGGGACATGGGTTCGAGCCCTGGTCTGGGAAGATCCCACGTGCCGCAGAGCAACTAAGCCTGTGCACCACAACTACTGAGCCTGTGCTCTAGAGCCCGCGAGCCACAACTACTGAGCCCATGAGCCACAACTACTGAAGCTCACGTGCCTAGAGCCCGTGCTCCGCAACAAGAGAAGCCACCGCAATGAGAAGCCCACACACTGCAACGAAGAGTAGCCCCCACTCGCCGCAACTAGAGAAAGCCTGCGCGCAACAACCAAGACCCAATGCAGACAAATAAACAAACAAAAACCAACTCCATGACCTCTGTTCCAGAGGTAGTCTGAACCTCCATCTTACGAGAGCCCCTAGGCACCTGGCCCTGTCTCCGGAGGGTGGCTTCATAGCTGCTCCACCCTACTCCTCCGTGTCTGGCTTCCTCACCCCGGTCTCAGCAGGATCCTGGTGGAGATGGATGGGGCCACAGAGAGCCAGCCCTGGCTTGTGCTTGCAATGAAGTGCCCCGGGCAGCATTGTCTGCCTGAAAACTTTGGGGGAGTCCCTGAAATTGGAGACCCCCAGTGCACTCAACAGATACTGATTGGCACCTACCGTATGGTGAGCAGTGTGCTTGGTGATGGGGATTCAGTGAAGTAGGAGCCGGTCATGCCTTATTCAAGCTAAGGAGGCGGAGAAGATGTGTGTAAACAGGCTCACAGAATGCAGTCACAGGTGTGGGGACAGGGGTGGGGTGTCTCTGAAGCACCTCAGAAGTTGCTGGTCCCTCGGAGGCCCTTCCTTAGATGGGACTATGTGACTCTTTGATCCGTTGAGCTGGAGTGGGGCAATCACTTGGCCTGCGTAAACATCCCCTAGACCCGGTTCATGCTGTCCCCTGGCCTGGGGCCAACCCTTGGGTTTCCAAGATCTTTCTGTGTTCACGGCTGCCTTGAGGCCACCTAGGAACCTTGAGGCCGTTTCTCAGTTCTGGCTCATACCTGAGGGCCTCCCGTTTCTTTCTAAGTTGCACTTTCATTAACATTTAAAATTTTTATGTTTTTCTCCCCCATTTCTCATTCCACATCTGCTACCACCAAGCCCATTCAGGACCTTTGCACATGCTTTCTTCTGACAAAAATGTTCTTCCCTTAGATCTTTAGTTGGTGGTTCCTTCTCTTCATCCATTCCTTGCTCAAAAGCTACTTCCTCAGAGACCTCCCTAACCACTCTACCTGAGTTAGCGAACCCTTGCCCCACTCCAGTCATTCTCTGTCCTGATATTCTGCTTCATTTTCTGCATAGAACTTACTGATATATGGAATATGTGTTTTATTATTCAGAAATCTCTATCCTCCACTTAGAATGTAATGTCCATGGGGACAAAACACCGTTATCTCCAACAGTGCCCAGTGTCATGAATATTGAATGAGGAAAAAACAGAAAAAACAAACTCAAATTTTAATAATTAGTTGAATAAAGTTGGCTATCTGAAATTTTTTTTTAAAAACTTATTATGTTTAATTTCAAACATGTACAAGTGGAACAAATCATGCAATGCACCCCACGCCCCCATCACTCAGCTTCCGCAGTGCCCAGCTCAGATGCCAGCACATCTCACTTCTAACCCTGCTGCCCTCTCCCCTTAGCCAGGGGACCATTTTGAAGCAAATTCCAGAAAATTATATAAGGTAGTCATGTGATTTCATCTGTAAATATGTAGGAATGTAGTTTTAAATGATAAGGACTTAAAAAAGTAATCACATACCATGATCACAGCTAAAAAATTCTTCAGTATCTCCTTACTGTTGTGAAATGCCTAGTCACTGTTCAAATTTCCCAGATCGTCTCATAATTTTTTGTTTGTTTTCCAGTTGGTTTGTTTAAATCAGAATCCAAAGGTGATCCACACATTATTCTGGATTGGTAGACCTTTTTAAAAAAAATTGAAGTATAGTTGATTTACAGTATTATGTTACTTTTAGGTGTATAGCAAAGTGATTGAGTTATACATATATTTTTTTTTTCAGATTCTTTTCCATTATAGGTTATTACAAGATATTGAATATAGTTCCCTGTGCTATACAGTAAATTCTTGTTGCTTGGTATGCCTTTTAAATTTCTTTTCCTCCTAACTTTCTTGAGCTAAACTTTGAAAAGAACAACTAAACTGTACCTACTCAGTGTGTAAAACTGGATCCATTTTGACATGTGTGTAGACTTGTGAAATCATCACCACAGTCTGTTTTTTTAACTATAAGCCCCACTTTCCTCGTTTTCCTTCTTTCCTCACAATTCAAGTATCAAGGTCATTCATCCTGTAGAGTTTCCTGCCTTCTGGCTTTTGCCGGTTGCAGTCCTGTGGTGGTATTTACCATGGTCCTCTGGTCTCTGTATTTCCTGAACTTGGTAGTTAAGTCTAGCTCTGGGTCTGATTCAGTCTTGATTTTTTGCAGAGAGGCAAGCCCACTTCATAGACAGTTGTGATCGTCCATCAACGAGGGCCTCCCTTTTCTGCCGTGAGCAATTGGCGTATCCCTCGTGGGGAGAGAAGCTCTTTCTGACCTGCCTGAGGAAGCTCCTAATGACAGCTGCTCTTGAAGGCCCCAGAATTTCGTGGTGTCTTCACAGAGGAAACTCCAGCAGATGCTGGGCTGTGCTCCCTGCTCCCAGCACTGGCCTCCAGGAGGCCACAGGACTGGGCTGTGGTGAGGTGGGGCACAGGAGGTTGAGTCCTGGCTCTGTCACTCACTGGCTGCGTGCCCCTGGACAAGTTGCTGAACTTCCTTGAGCCTCAGTTTCCTTGTCTGTACAGTGGGGATAGTGCATAAGCTGCTTTTCTTGCGCCAGGCTGCTTTAGGAGCTGGGGCTCTGAGGGACTTCACCACTTTGGTCGTCGTCTTCCAGGTGCACTTGAATCTGAGAGATTCCTCTTAAACGTGAGTCCCTGGGCCAAGCACAGATCCACCTGTGGTTGCCAGGGCAGCTCCTTGCCTTTGCTGCGTTGAGCAAAGAAGCTGGTGCCCAGTCAGCATGGTGGCCACGGTGGGACCAAAATTCATGTTTCAGGTTGAGCCTGCCCCAGAGACACAGTCTGGCACCTGAGACATCTCTGGTGGAGGTGGCAGCCTGCAACAGGAAACTATTTCTGTGGCTGGTAAAACAAACTGTGATCACAGTTCAGCTTTAAAAAGCATAGAAAGAAGATGGGAAGGAAACTGTCTTCATTGTGCTGCGTTTATCATTCAGGTGGTGGGATTCCGTGTGATTTTTTAGTTTCACTTTTCTGTACTTTCCAAACTATTGTTTCTTCATCTGGAATCATTCCTGAGCCTGCTGAGGACAGAGGGGGCCCCTGGGGTAGCTGCAGGGAGGGCCCAGCAGGGGGGGAGTGAGCCCTCCAGTCTGAGGCCCCGGGATGGGAGAGGCGCGGGCTTCCTCCCTCGGCTGGGTGGGGGCCTCAGCTTCCATCACAGTGACAACAGATCAGCTGCTGCCCCTTTGGCCAGTGACCCCAGAGGTTCTCTCTGCCAGCAGGTCCCCGTGGCAGTTCTGCTGGAGCATCTTTGGACGCCTCGTGTTCTGCTGAAGTTGTAAATGACACGTCTATTGAGTATTCACCCTAATTTTTTTTTTTCCAGGTGTTAGTACCCTGCAAAGGAAGCCTGTCAGGCAGTGTTCAGTCTACTTGTCAATTTGAGTCCTACATTTTGATCCCAGTGGAAGAACACTTTCAGACCTTAAATGGAAAGGTATTCTTTTGTTTCTTGTGGGTCAACCAGGGCCACTCACTCAGTGTTTGGGAGTGGGGGAGGGGAGAGAATCCTGCTTCTCACCCTTTCACGTCTGTGTTACATGATGGCTTTGACACCACAGCAGCCCTGCTACCTTTGAGGGCGGAGGAGCTGGCTGCAGCCAGGAGGTGAGGCGGGGCTGGGCACCTCTCCCTCAGCCCGTGGGTCTTCTGCCGGGGAGTCGGGGAGTGGCTGGGCACTGGGGGTGGGGTCGAGGAGGGATGGGTCCAGGGGGGTGGGTACCAGTACGCCAGTCTGGGGTGAGGGGTGGTCTGCAGCCCTGTGGCTCCCAAGCATGCTGCCATTTTCCTGCCAGGGATCTGCTCACCACAGCTGCCCGTCAGTTTACTTGTTCTCTTCCTGGTACCCAAATCTACCAAGAGAACAGAGGCACTGGGCTCATCGTGGCTGGTCTTCCTGGGCACCTTGGCCAAGGCCAGAGTGATGAGCCATGGAGGGGATGCAGCGCGCATCCTTTGGTGCTTCTGGGTTGCAGCGTCGGGTCATTCTGACCTCTTATTCAGAGAGGAGAACCTTCTTACTTTTTCCTTTTGCCTAGGGTACAGTGCTTTTGGGTTGCAACATGTGAAAAGGATCAGGGTACTATGTAGCTGGAGTGACAGGGTGAACAAAGAGGGAAGAAACCATGTTAGTATCAGAAAGCAAGCTGGTGCCCCCCCAAACCCACACTGGAGCAGAGGCAGGCGGGTGGGGTGAAGTGCCGGATGGGGACCAGGCTGAGGGGTCGGCAGTCACACGGGCTGCTGGTGCAGTGACGGCTCTCTTGTTCCAGGATGTCTTTATCCAAGGAAACAGGATTAAACTAGGAGCTGGTTTCGCCTGTCTTCCCTCAGTGCCCATTCTCTTTGAAGAAACTTTCTACAATGAAAAAGAAGAAAGTTTCAGCATACTGTGCATAGCCCATCCTTTGGAAAAGAGAGAGAGTTCAGGTATTCTGGGAGAAAACCCCTTTCTCCTGGTTGGGAGAAATGTGCTTGTTGAACTTCCTCCTGACGCAGCTGTTGTAAACATCCCATAAAATATTCAAGAGCCCGCTAGAAATCTGCATAACTGTTTACAATGATTCCCCCTAAAACTTAATCAGAAAGCCATCCTGAGCCAAGGTGACGTGGATTAGGCTGCTGTGTGTGGGCTGCACATGTTGGGTGTTACACACATAGACCTTAGTGGGAATGGCGCCCCCTGGAGTTGTGCAAAGCGGCAGCCCTGGCTTTGTCTCTGGGCCTCAGCTTTAGGGCTACCTCTTACAGCATTATTACCCACCCAGCCCCGCTGCTGTGCTTCTTTGAGATCTCATTATTTTTTTAATTTATATATATTTTTTGCAGTACGTGGGCCTCTCACCGTTGTGGCCTCTCCCATTGCGGAGCACAGGCTCCGGACGTGCAGGCCCAGCGGCCATGGCTCACGGGCCCAGCCGCTCCATGGCATGTGGAATCTTCCCGGACCGGGGCACAAACCCGCGTCCCCCGCACCGGCAGGGGGACTCTCAACCACTGTGCCACCACGGAAGCCCTAGATCTCATTATTTTTAACAGATACTAATTCTTTGGTGCTCCACGAAGTTGAGATAACAATTAATGTGCCAAACACTCCTATCTGAGGCTCTTATTGTCAGGAATCAGGGCTTCCTCACCACAGCCTCACAGGTCATGCCTAGGGTCCCAGATAATTCAGGTTTGGTCCCAGGAAAGGGCTTCAAGAGGACCAGGCTCTCTGGACCCCCAACTGGGCTGCTCTTGGGCGATATCTTGAAATAAGGTCATCCCTCTCCTCCTGTGGAAGATGGAGCGTCAGATCCTGGAGGAGCAGGACAAAGGGTTGTGGGACTTGCCCTGTTAGGAAACAGTGAAGCCTTCAGCCAGCCTGACCCTCTGTCTCTGTTTCAGAAGAGCCTTCAACACCCTCAGATCCCTTTTCCCTGAAAACCATCGAAGACGTGAGAGAGTTTTTGGGAAGACATGCAGAGAGATTTGACAGGAACATCGCTTCTTTCCAGCGAACGTTCAGAGAGTGTGAAAGAAAGAGCCTCCGTCATCACATAGTCAGTAGCCGTGTCTTGCTTTGCTAGGCGTGCCTTGTCTCAGGCCAGTTCAGAGCACCAGGATCCCTCTCAGTTCACTCTGTAACTTTGCTGCCTCCATCGTTGGAAGTTTTGTTTAAATGTTTCTTTTTACCTATAAAAGTACTACAGACCACTGTAGAAAACTTGAAAATCACAGAGAAGTATAAAAATGAATATTGTTATCATCTATGTTAACCCTAAGGGGAATTTTTCTTCCTACTTTTAATGCATGTACCTAAAAAAAGTTGAAAAACAAATCACACACTTGATTTGATAAGCTTGCTTTAGGATTTAGAGCTTGTCACCCAGGAAATCCATTTTGTGAAATGTTCTCTTTGCCCCAGGACACGTTACACGTCCCGGGTTTTGTGTCGTGGCCCCGGGTCATGAGGGTGACCGCTCTCTGCTCTGTGTTGCACAGGACTCCGTGAATGCTCTCTACACCAGATGCCTCCAGCAACTGCTGAGGGACTCCCGCCTGGTAAGCAGCACGACGTTCAAAAGAGATACCTGCCAGAGAGAGAGGGACAAATAGCATGTACCACTTACACGTGGAATCTAAAATATGCCACAAGTGAGCCTATCTACGGAACAGAAACAGTCTCACGGACATAGAGGACAGACTGGTGGTTGCCGAGGAGGAGAGGGTTGGAGGAGGGATGGAGTGGAAGTTTGGGGTTAGCAGATGTAAACTATTATATATAGGATGGACAAACCACAGGGTCCTACTGTATAGCACAGGGAACTATATTCAACGTCCTGTGATAAACCATGATGGAAAAGAATATAAAAAAAAGAATATGTATGTATAACTGAGTCACTTTGCTGTACAGCAGAAATTAACACAACATTGTGAATCAACTAAATAAACCAAAAAAAAAAAGAGAGAGAGACTTACAGTTTGCCCACATGCTAGGCCATGCTCTGTAACTGTACTCGTCTTGTCCTCCAGAAAGTGCTCGCCAAGCAGGAGGCCCAGATGAACCTGATGAAACAGGCTGTAGAGGTAAGGGGCCAGGGCAGCGAGGGGAGAGAAGACGGCAGTGCCGGGGGCTCCTTTGTTGCCCACCCCCCACTCACATGCCTTGAACTGGGTCCTGTTGATTTCACAGATGTATGTCCAGCACGATATTTACGACCTGATCTTTAAATATGTGGGGACCATGGAGGCAAGTGAGGTAGGTTCTCCATCGTCATCATCCAGGATGGAAGCCCTGTTCTAAGCCTTTTAAGACATTTGAAGCTTCATTAAAATCTCTTGTTAGGATGCTGCCTTTAACAAGATCACAAGGAGCCTTCAAGATCTTCAGCAGAAGGATATTGGTGTGAAACCTGAGTTCAGGTAAAGGTTTGCACTGCTGCGGCCGTGTCCTCAGGGGCCGGGGCACCGTTCGCCATCCCCCCCCCCAACCCCCGAAGCAGCAGTGGCGGCACTGATTTGACATGGTTCAGACCGTGGAGCAGGGCAGTTATTTGTGACCAAAGATAAAGGGGCTGAGGTTGGCAGATGACTGTTTCAGAGCTGGCATGCTCCTGCACCCATCTGCCAGCATCCGGTGAGTGGGAGCCAGAAGGGGTGGAGTCGTACACAGCTGGTCTCTGGGCAGGCATGCAGCTCACCCACGTGGGCCCTGCACACAGATGTCTCTCCTCACCTGCCAGTCTGAGGGACCCCTGCTTTAGGGGCATCTCCTTTTGGATTAAGTTTCATTTTATTACAAAAATGTCTAGGGACTTCCTTGGTGGTCCAGCGGTTAAGACTTCGTGCTTCCCTGCAGGGGGCACAGGTTCAATCCCTGGTTGGGGAACTAAGATCCCGCATGCTGTGCAGCTCAGCCAAAAAGTAAAAAAAAAAAAAAAAAATCAAATTTGTTTATGTCTAAACTCCCCCCCACCCCCCGCCCATTGGCCTATTTCATTCTGGGGCTAAGGCTTGCTGATTTTTTTCCCTAATTTTCTGGTGCAGCTACATCACCTGGCAGCTTGATTGGCACCTTGAAAGCTGCTGGGTTTTGCCAGTGACCCGAGTCAGATTACTTCTGAGTTTCTAGTTTTGTTTGGCTGTACTTACGGTTTGCTGTAAGAAATGTGAATCTGAGGTATGGGATTAGATCCGAGAAGGAGGGCCCTCACACCGTGGTCTTATGTGGTCACTTTCCAAATTATTTTGCAGCTTCAACATACCTCGTGCCAAGAGGGAGCTGGCTCAGCTGAACAGGTGCACGTCCCCGCAGCAGAAGCTGGCTTGTTTGTGGAAGGTGGTGCAGCTGATCACCCAGTCTCCCAGCCAGAGAGGTGTGTGCTCGGTGAAGGGACCTGCAGTGGGGTGGCTTCATACATCCAGCTGCAAACATCTGTTGAGAAGCAGTGCCATCTTAAAGGGTCATAGAGATGGGTGGATGGGCAACAGAGCATTTCTGCGTGAGTGCCCTGGCGTCTGATCTGAGGAGTGGGTGCCTAGTAATGGGAGTCGGGGGGCAGGGTAGGTGAGGCATCTTTAGGGTGAGAAAATGCTGGTGGAGAAGCAGCGGCCTCAAAAACGAGCCAAACTGGTGATGGAAACATGGGGGTTCAACTGTTAAGTTGTTCTCTCTAATTTTGTATACGTTTAAAATTTTGCATTATAAAAAGTAAAAACAAAATAAGCTAAGAAAAAAGTAATGAGAAGGCAGATCTGTGTGGGCAGATAGGGGGTGATCTTCGAAGCGTATTATCAGTGAATGAAATGAACAGGAGTGTGTATGGTACCCTTCCAGCAGTATTGCGGAAAGGGGGCGACTCTGTATCCATATATACAATGGGGAGATCATAGAATGTGGACAGGTACGTGGGAAGCAACAGCAGTGGCCTCTGGGAAAGAAGTCTGGGTGGCAGGGATGGGAGAGATGTGCACGGTTTGCTCTTTTGTACTTTTTGAAATTTTAAATGTGTGAATGGATTACTTAAACAAAATTTTAATGAAAACAACAGAGTCAAGCTGCAGATCGGCATTAGACTCTGAGGTGTATAAAAGAGAAATGATCCCAGGAGGAAAGAGGCTTTTGGCAGCGGCTCTGGCACGCCTTCAAGTTGTATCCACCATTGCTGACTTCCTCGGGCTTTTTATCTGTCCCGGGAGGTAACGAGGGGTGGTCTGCTTGCAGTTTGCTTCTTCTGCACGTGTTCTGAGGATGCTAAGCATTCATTTTCCCCTGGAGTCTGACATCTATTCAGGACACTAGAAAGGAAATTGTGCGATTGAATTTCTCCCTGATGTGTCATCTTCCTGGATTGTGGTTTTGTGGGTTGGATGGTGGGGGGGGGGAGTTGATAACACTTGTCGGTCCATTTGAGTCCCAGGATGGCTTTGAACATGTGTTTCCCCCTTGCAGTTAACTTGGAGACCATGTGTGCTGATGATCTGCTATCAGTCCTGTTGTATTTGCTTGTGAAAACGGAGATCCCTAATTGGTAATATTTTTTGTTAAAATGCTTTTTCAAAATGGCAGCACTGTACTGGGGTGGTTTTAGTGTCACTCTAGGAAACTGAGTGCCCCTTATGAGCCAGGTACTGCCCTGCTTTCGTCCTGCAAGGGGTGGCTGTCATTCCATGTACAGATGGGGAAACTGAGCCAGCGAGCTTACGTTTCTCATTCTGGAGCATGTGGCTAGTCAGTGGCTGAGCGGGAAGCAGACTCCAATTCTGTCTGGCTCCAAAGCCCGTCCTTTTCCCACAGAAATGCAAGTTCCCTGTATAATTACCAGCTTTCTAAAAACTAGCCCATTCCAGGAAACTCGCAAGTAGCTTTACTTATTTTCCTAATTGTGCTCCCTCTAAATAAAGATCCAGGGACAAGCAGCCCTAGCTCCCAGGTGCTAACCGACTTGATGATGAAGCCAATAGCATTGTTTCTGCCAAAGTGTTAATTGGGTATACAGCAATAAAACTTTTTTCTTCCTTTTATTAGGATGGCAAATTTGAGTTATATCAAAAACTTCCGATTTAGCAGCTCAGCAAAAGATGAACTGGGATACTGCCTGACCTCAGTTGAGGCTGCAATTGAATATATTCGGCAGGGAAGCCTCTCCGTTAAGCCACTGGTAAGACCTCCCTCCTTCTCTGCCCCTTTTTTGTGGGTGTCACGGCGTGTGTGATGGGGTTCTCAGGGTGGTGTGGGGGAGGGGCAGTCAGAGATGCTCTCCTCAGAGAATGGGGCCTCAGCCCAGTGAGTGAACACTAGCACCCCGTAGGTTGTGAAAGTTTGTGCGTTATCTTGTCCTTCACATTGTTGATCTGCTTCATTAATCCTTGTCATCCTCAAAAGCACACGGGCAGAAGGGGAAGCTAGAAGCGGTGAATTGGGGTATCCTGATCATGATGGGCAGGAGATGAGATTACTAACGTCTGCAGTTTTCAGGACTCAGTGGCCCTATTATTATTTTCTTGGTTGGTTGGTGAGCTTTGGCTAGTGGAGGCGATGATGTTCCCATGAGAACTGTGAGACTCTTGAACCAAGATTGCACTGCTGGCTTATTTCACTGCCATACCAACCAGCAAAACATGACAGTACTCACAGAAATTGCAAAGTTGAAATCAATCGAATGAAGAGATTTCTGTATTAAAAACCAAGAGTCCTGGGACTTCCCTGGTGGCGCAGTGGTTAAGAATCTGCCTGTCAGTGCAGGGGACACGGGTTCGAGCCCTGGTCCAGGAAGATCCCACATGCTGCGGAGCAGCTAAGCCCGTGCGCCACAACTACTGAGCCTGTGCTCTAGAGCCCGCGAGCCACAACTCCTGAGCCCACATGCTGCAACTACTGAAGCCTGCGCGCCTAGAGCCCGTGCTCGGCAACAAGAGAAGCCACTGCCCCGCAACAAAGAGTAGCCCCCGCTCGCCACAATTAGAGAAAGCCCGCATGCAGCAACAAAGACCCAAGGCAGCCAAAAAAAAAAAAACCAAAAAAGCACCAAGAATCCTGAGGATTGAACTTAGATCTTAATTTTCCCCTGATGTTAGACGCTCCCAAAGTAATAAGTTGAAACACGTGGAAAAGAACATAGGCCTGTTCAGACAGGACCACTCGGGTACAAGCAGTTCCCTGAATTCATTTATTGTTAACATGTTTATGTATTTTCTAGTCTTTTTCCTTGCCATGTATACTTTACATAATTGAAATTGTAATGTAGATAGCCTTGTATACTTTTTCCCCAAAATGAATAGTTCTATTTTTTTCTGATTAGAAAACTATTTGCTTATAAATAATATGTGAAATATAAAAAGTAGCAGTGAAGACAACAAAAGCCTCCCATAAACACACTAGTTGAGGATGACTTATTAACATTTTGGTATATGTCTTTTTTCTGCACTTATACAATTATATTTTTAACCAGAATTTGAGCTTATGCTGCACTTGCTGGCACATAGCCTGACAGTATCATGGTGCTTGCTGAAGAATTAAGTTCTGTTCTGATTTGATTGCCTACACACATACGCAGGTGAAATTAGAGGCTGTGCATCTCATCTCAGATGTGGCTGGCTGTGACTCCCGTGAAAAGTTGTTTCTAATTTAGGGGGAAATCATTAACATTCTAGAATGCACACGTGTGTGTTCACGGGCGCCTCTGCATACACACAGGTCTGCAGAGTCAGAAATGTCACTCGGGGCTTCCCTGGTGGCGCAGTGGTTAAGAATCCACCTGCCAAGGCAGGGGACACGTGTTCGAGCCCTGGTCTGGGAAGATCCCACATGCCGTGGAGCAACTAAGCCCGTGCGCCACAACTACTGAGCCTGCACTCTAGAGCCCACGAGCCGCAACTACTGAGCCTTGCGTGCATACTGCAACTACTGAAGCCGGCACGCCTAGAGCCCATGCTCCGCAACAAGAGAAGCCACAGCAATGAGAAGCCTGTGCACCGCAACGAAGAGTGGCCCCCACAACTAGAGAAAGCCCGTGCCTAGCAACAAAGACCCAGTGCAGCCAAAAATAAAATAATAAATAGATAAATTTATATATATATAAAAAAAGAGATGCCGCTCACTTCCAGAGTTGGGCAGCAAGATTTCTTAGTTTGAATTGTCTTCTGTGAGGTTCTAGGAACACGTGTTGTTCCCATGGTGCCTGCGGAGGTTTTCCATCATGGCCCTGCCCTTCTGGTTCTTTCCCTCTGATGGGTCTCCCCTCCTGGACCCACTACCCTGCAGAGGACTTGCCTGATGCTCCTTGCTGGGGCCAGGGGTGCCCCTTGTCACCTGGAGGGAGGTGCCCACCTCTTGAAGGTGCTCCCGTCCCCTTGCTGCACCCATCCTGTACCACAACCATCCTGCTTTCTTACTTTCTGTGGCATGTAGGCAGGAAGTCCAACGCTTGAAGGCCTTTGGCCAGAGAGTAAAGAGGTGGTTGACCAAACACTAACAGTCAGCTTCTCACACATACTTTTCCTTCAGAAAATATTCCAAGTGGGATTGTGGCAGTGTTTGAGGGGTGGCCCCTCTTGTGCTGGTGTTGGTTTGAGTCCAGCCCTTGGGCAAGTCAGTTTGTCTCTCTGAGCCTCTGTCCCTCCTGTCTACACTGGGGATCGTGTTACGTATTTCACCCTTGCCAGGTGGTTGCGAGGATCAAGTGGCATATTTGAAAGTGCCTTTTCGAAGTGTGACGTGATACTGATGCCCTTCCTTGATCTGGCAACACCGGCATCTGGATGTCTCTGTTTCCTGGCTGTCTGGTGCATCCTGCGTGGATAGCCCCAAGGATGGCCGTTAGCTTGGGTGGGCAAGGGGGGGACACAGCCCAGTGCGCCCGTCTTGTCTGGGCTGTCAGACCCTGGTCCTGCCCTCCCATTGGAGGGTGGTTGGTCCCCCTGGACTTGCGACAAGGTTGCATCATCCTCTCGGCTGGCCATGGAGCCCGAGCCTTGGGTCTTGAGTGCGTCAGGCCTGAGAGATGTCCTTTTACCTTTATGGACAGAGCAGGTGTTGTGGCTTCCTTGTCTTTCGTGATGCCAGCGTTGGGATTCCGTCTGTGGCATTGCCTGTGCCTTAGTGCAGTTCCATCTAGGAAAGTGCGAGGCCACGGCTGCTTGTCGGTATTGATAGAATTTCCCGGGGAAAGAGCCCAAGTGTATCTCCACACAGCAGGTGAGGTTTCTGAAAAGCATTAAGGACTAAGTGTTAGGAAATCAAATAATGTTTTACTGTTGACTCTTTATATACTATAATGTAGTTTCACAGAAATTTTCTCCCCAAGACATAATCATACTTGAGATGACCGTAAACATTCTTTGAGCATGTTCATTAATGAAGACTTGAGCTTTTTTGAAAATAACCATTACTGGGATGACTCTAGATTTACCTCTGCGGACAGAAAAAAATGGAGGAGAACCTTGAAAGGATCTCTACCCTTCTCTGCTCCAGCTTTGCAGGTCTTTTTCACATTACTGGGCTTCCAATAAATAGTATTTACCTTTTCCTGAATTGGTCTTAGCTGATATGCTCTCTCTTCTGGTTGCTCATTCTTCCCTGACCAGTCAGTCCTGGAAGACCTGCCTCTTTTCATCAGTGCCCTTCAAACAGTCACCTAAATGGAGGAAAGAGCCCCAAATTTACCTGAACAATAAGGTCTTTGATGTTTCTCTGATTTACAGCTCAGCTGTAAATCCCTGAATAAAACAGGTTGATCGAGCCTTACACAGCATATACCGACGGGGAGCAAAGGTAGCTCTACGTCTGAGGGTTGGTGTTTGTCTGCCAAGACAACTCCATGAGGGCGGCTGGCATGAGGGGCCCTGCTTGGCAGTGGGCCCCAGAAATGCTGCCACCTCTGTCTTTAACTGGACCTCTTCGTCAGAACCTAGGGGGCCACAGAGAGAAATGTTCCCATAATTTTCTCAGGGTTTGGTGAGTTCTTCTGGCAGCAGCTGGCTGGAAACAATTCCATCTGTCTCCCACCAAGATTCTTTTCGAGGAAGTTAATTTGTTACCAATTTAGTCACAGGTGCTCAAGTGAGCATTGAAGTGTCTCACTAGAAATGATTTCATAGAGAAAGGATACATTTTTAGATTTCTATATCCAGGTAAAAATTACCTGCACTGTGAAGACCTGAGTTTATTCTTGGGGTGGACCCCATATTTTATTGAACTTTGGGCCAGTGGCCGTGTTGTCTGATGTTTTAGTAAGTATGTTCAAAAAGCAGGACCCTTCCCTCTCTTGCTGGTTCACACTGGGAAGGGTAGACCAGCCTGTCACATGGTTCCCCTGTCTGTGGACCCAGGTAACATGCAGCGGACAGGGCTCTGCAGGCATTAGGACAGATGTTTTGAGAGGAGGGGGAGGCCGGGACAATCCAGGTTTCCACGTGGGGGATGGTGCTGTGTGCATGCCACATTTCACACTTAGAGATGCCACATTCCACACACACACACACACACACACGGAGCCATCATGCTGCCCCCTCCCAGATTCCTGCCGGGAAGCTGTCATCAGAGCCCCACTTCCTGGAGAGGCAGACAGGGAGCCCCTCTCCCAGCCTGATGAGGGTCTGTTGTGCAGCTCCCTGGGGGCGGGGAGAGGCACTGCTGGTCCTGTTTTGTGGGAAACAGCAGGGATCGTTCCTGGGTCCTCTGTTTTCAAGGATCTGCACTGACAGCTCACGACGTGTGATAAAACGGATTGTCGGCTTTTCTTGCAGGAGTCCGAGGGATTTGGCGACAGACTGTTCCTTAAGCAGAGAATGAGCTTGCTGTCTCAGCTGACCTCAACTCCCATTGACTGCTTGTTTCAGGTAACACACGCAGAGGTCCTGCGGGCACAGATATGTGAGGGGCTCTCCATCCTCCCACTCCTCTGTAGAATCCATCAGGGTGGTCTGTGTAGCTCAGTGCAGGGGTTCATTTTGTGCTCGAGGGAGTGATACGGATGCTGGATCAGCTCGGCTGCCCGTCTCCCCCGACGTGAGCTGCGCTGTAGCCCCACTGGGCAGCATAGCGAGGGCACCGGGCCCTGCGTGTGGAACCCTCTGCCCGGCTGTCCTCCTCTCCCCATTTGGCGAAACATGGCTGGTCCTTCGCAGTCAGCTCAGTGGCACCTCACTGGCAGCTCTGCCAGAACTGATGCCTCTTCTTGGCTCCGGGAGCCCCAGCTACAGATGTTTGTGTGAGTGTGCTGGGCTGGGAGCAAGGCACCTGGTGGTGGTGTGATCCTCAAGCACAGGCAGGCGGCTCCTTCCTCAGATCTGATCTACCGCTGGGAGGCTGGCGAGGTTCCCTACGAGGCAGCCGTCAGAGGGCCACCCGGGGCCAGGGTGGGTTCCATGGAGGACCCAGAGCTATGCACCCCTCAGAACATCTCACTCCCTGTGGGGAATACATCCAGGCCTCACAGGGGTGAGCCCTGCAGGTTTGCTTGTTGATGGGGTCTTGTGATAATTACAGCTGTCCTGCAAACCAAGGCTCTATTAGATTCCTAGACGATTTGACCCTTTAATGGGGGTCGAAGTCTACTCCAAGGCTCAGGACGTATTGCCCCCCTACTCCTGTGGCTCTGGGAATTTTGTCATGTCGTTGTTTCTTTAGCTTTGGAAAAACCCTAACATTTATAAAAATAAAAGAGAGTAGTGCAATTAAGGAACTCCCGTGTAGCCATCTCACAATCCTGTTTCATTTCTATCCCCTGCCCCACTTTTCCCCATCCACCCAAATTATTTTGAAACAAGTCCCAGAGAGCAAATTGTTTCGTCCATCCATACGTAGATGTGTGTTTCAGTAAGGATGCTCAGAAAATTCACACCTTAGAGAGCGAATAGTTCCTTCATATCAATAGTGCTTTTGATGTCACCTTTTAGCACATCGCATCAGGTAACCAGAAAGAAGTGGAAAGACTTCTGAGCCAGGAAGACCGAGATAAAGATGCCGTCCAAAAGATGTGTCACCCTCTGTGCTTCTGTGATGACTGTGAGAAACTCGTCTCAGGGTACGAGGATCCTATGTGGGCTCAGCGCCAGGAAGGGGGAGACTCGGGGCCTGGGCGGAACTTTCCCACTTGTTTGCTGTGAGATTTGGAAAAAGGAACTTATCCTCACTGCACTCTGCTTCCTCTGCTGTGAAGTGGAGAGAGTAACGTCTGTCCCTTTGGAGAATCAGGTGGAATAAAGATTGTAAACATACCTGGCACCCTGCTCGGCTGCTTTACCAGGGGAGGTGGGCAGAGGGCGTGCCCCAGGCTCGGAAAGTGGATTTTAGGATGGGAGGACTGTTGGCTCCTGCCTGTAACCTTTCTGGTTTCCCCTTATCCTTATTGGGCTCTTTTGCTGGTTGTCAAGGCCTGGAGGGGTGGGTGGGGAGAGAGGCCCTGCGGAAGTCGGGGCTTCTGCTTTCTGGGACACGGTAGAGGAGACCCAGCTTGGATCATACCTGGAGATCTGTCTTCTTGTCCCAGGACCCTGGTGTATTTCTCTGTATCCTCTTTCTCTTTTAGGAGGCTGAATGACCCCTCCATTGTCACTCCATTCTCCAGAGACGACAGGGGTCATACACCGCTCCATGTGGCTGCCCTCTGCGGTACGTGGGCAAAGGGATGGGGCCGAGGGTGGCCCTGCAGAGAGTGGGTGGCTGCTGGGTCTTACTGTGTGGTTGCTTGGCACTGCCCCTGGGCTGGTGGTCCAGCCAGGGAAGGCTTGAATCTGAACTATGAGAATGGTCTCAGAATTGGGGTTCTTATATTCCTCCTTTAAAAAATATAACTTTACTGTCTTTAATTTATTTTTTTATTCTTTTTTTTTAAACATTCTTTTCCAGTATGGTTCATCATAGGATACTGAATATAGCTCTCTGTGCTATACTGTCTTTTAAAGTACACATGCAAAAAAAAATGTGCACTTTCAAGGTAGAAAACACAAACATCTGTAGTATCACCCGCCATCCTTCTGCCTCCCAGAGATCATTTTGATTCATGACTGTCTGAAATGTCAGCATGCTTGTGAGTGTGTGTGTATAAAATAGATGATGCTGTGGGGATCATACTTTTCTGTACGGTGCTTTTTTCACTCGGCAACACGTAAGAACATTTCTCCATGTCAGTATTTTTTTACTGGTTGCACAATATTCCATCCTGTAGATTGATGCACCATGGACTCTTCTGTGGACGCCTAAGGCTCTTTTCTCCTACCTTCTGTGGCTGGGGGCTGGACTGCAGCCGAGTCCCCTCCAGGGGCTACCCCAGAGTGTTTGGAATCTGCAGAGGCTGACCTCACGTTAGCACTGGTTCCCCCCAAGCAGAAAAATGCCTCCCGGCGTGTCTCGTGCCAGGGGATGAGAGGGTGAAATAATGCCATGGCTTCACTTGCAGGGTTTGGAAAGCCCTCTCTCTTCCCTTCTGTTCTGTAGGGCAGGCATCCCTCATTGACTTTCTGGTTTCCAAGGGCGCGGTGGTGAACGCTACAGACTACCATGGCTCCACCCCGCTGCATCTTGCGTGTCAGAAGGGCTGTCAGAGCGTGACGGTGAGCATCTGGGCTCGGACGGGCTGGCTCTGCACGTGGCTTTGCAGGGCTGGCCCCTCTTGTGTTCCACACTGGCTCGGTCGGGCCGCAGGGAGGGCTGGGGTCTCAGGCACCTCACGGAGGGTCTGCTGGGCAAAAGCTATTAGGTGTAGATTTGAAATGTCACGGTAATATGGGGGAGGAAGGGTGGGGCTGTAGATTTTTTTTTATCTCTAAACTTTTTTTTTTTGTATCATACTTTTTAATAATGAGATAGGATTTTCCTTCACCCACCCCCAAGATACTAGAAATATTTTAAATAGGGCCCCAAGATGGACTTTCCCATAGACTTAACATCTACTGATGAGAAGACGGGCCAGAAACTAAAAGGCAAAATTATTTTGCCAGTCAGTGATGTTTCAATTTCAGCTTAAGTTGTTTGGTACATAAAGTGCCTCACTGCTAGTGATTGATGGGGGTTGATTTTCTTTCTTTCTTTTTTTCTATTTTTAACTTTTATTGGAGTAGAGTTGATTTACAATGTTGTGTTAGTTTCACGTGTTCAGCAAAGTGAATCAGTTATACATAAACATATATCCACTCTTTTTTTTTTTTTTTTTTTTTAGTAATCTCTAAACTTTTTATCAGGAAGGATAAAAGTGATGATAATATTTTTTGCTTTGGTTTTTTAAAATTAAAAAAAATTTTGGGGGCTTCCCTGGTGGCGCAGTGGTTGAGAGTCCGCCTGCCGATGCAGGGGACACGGGTTCGTGCCCCGGTCCGGGAGGAGCCCACATGCTGCGGAGTGGCTAGGCCTGTGAGCCATGGCCCTGAGCCTGCGTGTCCGGAGCCTGTGCGCTGCGACGGGAGAGGCCACAGCAGTGAGAGGCCCGCATACCGCAAAAAAAAAATAAATAAATAAAAAATTTTTGTTTAAAAGTATAGTTGATTTACAGTGTGTTAGTTTCAGGAGTATAGCAAAGTGATTCAGATATATATGTGTGTGTGTATATATATATAATGTATTTCTCTCTCTATATATAATATATATTCCTTTTCAGATTATTTTCCATTATAGGGTTGATATAATTTTAATTGTAGTGTAAGTAGATAAGGTTGAAAATGGAGACCAGCGACTTCCCGCTGTGAGGCTCTAGGCCGTGCTCCTGAGGAAGCGCGCGCCTGCACTGCCGGGCTTGCTGGTGCTCACTGCTCTCCCCTCTCCTTTGGAAGCTGCTGCTGCTGCACTACAAAGCCAGCGCCGACGTGCAAGACAACAACGGCAACACCCCTCTGCACCTGGCCTGCACCTACGGCCACGAAGACGTAAGTGGTCCTTGCTGCGCCGAGGGCGGCCGTGTTTACCCTTTCTCACAGAGAAAAGTGAATTTCCAGTCGGTTGAATGTCGTATTTTATGTTGACAGTTATTGGAACATTTGGCATATAATTTTTTTAATTAAAAAATTTAAAAACACATTACAGATGCTGTATTGAAATAACAGAAATCTAAAACATAATTGTCTTTTCCTGAAATGAAATCATGTGCATTCATCTCCGCTACCATCTGCTTCTTACCTTTCTTCATACTCAATTTTTACGTTTTATATTTTTAAAGAAATATCAAGGAATTTCATCATTTCCGTGTTTGCTTAATATTTAACTCTGTGTGTGTGTGTGTTATTTTTTTCCTAACCACCCTCTCTCACTTCTCTCCATGCTAATATCCAGGTAGATTTATACAGATGTGGGTTGAGCCTGGGTTAGGTGGTTGATGAGCGAAAACGAGATCATACCCTACACAATTTTTTGCAGCTTATTTTCCTAACTTAATCATGGACATCCCATAGGTCAATAAATGTAGATCTAACCCGTTCTGTAATCGCTACACATAGTCTATGACGTGTGTTGTGTCAGGGTCCTTAAGACCACTCCCCAGTTCAGTGGTTCGCTAGGAGGGCTCACAGGATGATCATATGGTTGTATGCACAGCTGTGATTTATTGCAGTAAAGGGACACAGAGCAAAATCAGCCAAAGGGAGGGTCCAAGGATGAAGTCCGGAGGAAACTAGGTGCAGGCTTCCAAGTGCATCTCCCCGTGGAGTCACTCAGGACAGCTTATTCCTCCAGTAACGAGTCATTAACAACACGTGCAAAGTGTTTTCCTTCTGGGCAGCTCATTAGGGACTCAGTGCCCAAGATTTTGGTTGGAGGCTGGTCGTGTGAACACCCTTTTGCCTAGAACATTTCAACATTCCAGACTCCCAGAAGGACAGCAGGTGTTCAGCATAAACCACTGTTGGACAAACTAGGCCCAGTGAGCCCCTCTCATCAGTCAGGGGACTGTGAGAACACTCCCCAAATCCAAGCTCCCAAGGAATATTGCAAGTGAAGGGGGCCAGCCTTGCAAGCAGGCCTTTCCGGGGATGGCGGTCTCAGGCCTGCTCTGGTGACTCCTTTCTGCACATGATGTGCGACGATTTATTCAGCCATTTCTTATTGATTGGCAGTTGGGTTCTTTAAAAACAAAAACAAAAACGATGTGTCCTGATCAGGTGATCTGGAACCCTGGAGGTCTAATGTTCTGTTACTGTATGTTTGCTTGGCAGATGGTGCCTTGATCGAATTGGGACGTGGGCCGAGGCTGCGGGCTGCACAGATCTGCCCAAGGCCGGGCCTGTGAGTTCACAGTGGCCTTTCCCATTCTGTTTGCAGTGTGTGAAGGCTCTGGTCTACTATGACGTGCAGTCCTGCAGACTAGATATTGGTAACGAGAAAGGAGACACTCCCCTGCACATTGCTGCCCGCTGGGGTTACCAAAGCATCATAGAGACGTTGCTACAGAACGGAGCGTCCACAGAGATCCAGAACAGGCTGAAGGAAACGCCCCTCAAGTGTGCGTTAAACTCAAAGGTAGCCTTTTTCATCTCGGAGCAGCAGTATGACTTTAAACGATATCAGCATCGCAGCTTAGGTCTTGGCCGAGCTGTTCAAACCGTGCATTAGTCCCCAAGGCTAGAACTTGGCCGCATCTTCTCTGCTGCACTCGGGACCTGGTCGTTCATGGGTTTTACCTATTCATCTTATTTTCCATCTTAGTAGGCGATTTTCGCAGTGTCATGCCAAGAGCTGCTCCCAGCAGAGTTTGCCCCGGCCTCTGAGTGCTGTTGGTTTCTGGGCAAGTGGAGTGAGAGTAAATGGGACGGTGGCTCCGGCCGGGAAGAGCGGGGACAGGGTGTTGGAAGCAGCAAGCATCGGCTCTGTTTTACTGTTCCTTCACCCTCAGCGCCTAAAACTTTATTCTGATTTGGCCAGCTTCGAACGTCGTTGGGTGTAATTTCCTTCATAAATGATTCATTAATAAACTACTAGCCCATCCTGCTGGTAGTTTCTGGAAGCACATAGTTTGGGGCCACATGTCATGCACTGCTTGCTCATGAGCAGGTGGGGAGTGATGGGAGCTTCCAGAGGCCAGGCCTTCCCAGCAGCAGCTCTGTTGCTGGGAACAGCTTCCAGAGGTCTCGCCCCCCAGCAGCAGCTCTGTTGAAGGGGTGTCCTCAGAGAAACGTGTTTGGCCAACTAGCCAGAGGAAGCCAGGGCCACGTGCGACGGCCATCCGAGGTCCTGATGCCCAGAGCATCCCGGCTAGTGGCTCACATAGGTGATGTCATTTTAATACAGGTCTCCAAGTGTCTCCCTTTGCACAGGCCCTACTTTCTGCCTCTTGATGTTTTATAATTTCCAGTCCTCTTCTAGGGAGTTCTTTTAGTTTGTTCATGTCTTCTTCTAGGAGTAGCACAGTTTTTGTTTTTAAACCACTTTATTGAGGGATGATTGACATACAAAAAGCTGTACGTATTTAGTGTATACAACTTGTTGAGCTTGGAGACAAGTCCACACCCATGAGACCAACACCACAATCTGTGCCATAAATACATCCATCACCTCCAGAAGTTTCCTCCCGCCCTCTTTATTTATCGATTATTATTTTGTGTGTGTGATAAGAACACAACATAAGACCTGTAGGAGTGTGGTTTTTTTTTTTTTTTTTTTTTTTTGTACGTGGGCCTCTCACTGTTTTGGCCTCTCCCATTGCGGAGCACAGGCTCCGGACGCACAGGCTCAGCGGCCATGGCTCATGGGCCCAGCCGCTCCACGACATGTGGGATCTTCCCGGACCGGGGCACGAACCCGTGTCCCCTGCATCAGCAGGCGGACTCTCAACCACTGTTCCACCAGGGAAGCCCAGGAGTGTGGTTTTTGAAGGTTTAAATCCCTGCTCCTGACCCGGGGGCCTCAGCTGCCCATGCCCTCAACGGGGTCTCAGCTTTGTAGCAGCCAGAGCCACGGGACTGGGTGATACCACCCTTGGCCTGAGATGCCCATGAGGGGCTGAGGGCACCTCTGCACTGGAGCTTCTCCAAAGGCCTTTCCAGAGGGAGTTCTGCAGACACAAGGAGCAGATGGCTTTCTGGGCTCAGCTCCGAGCTGGTCCCACTTAAGACCCATGGCTGCCAGTGGAAAGGTCACACTTCAGGCCTGTGGACCACCAGCCCAGGCTGGATGAGGCAGCCTTTGGGGCCCCTCTGTGCCTGGGCTTCCCTTGTCCGCTGAGCCCATTCGTGGGGAGCACTGGCTCCTGCTGTTGAACTTAGCATGGTCCTGAGTAGGTTCCCGCCTGCTCTGGGCCTTGGTGTCCCCCCGTCTCTCCAAGGGCCTGCCTGGGCCATGCGGCTTTCCAAGGAGGTGGGTGCAGTGGGGCCGTAGGGGTGATGAGACCTTGGCGACCCATCTCAGTACTTTTCGCGTCCCCTTTGGCCTCCTAGATTCTGTCCATGATGGAAGCCCACCATCCGTCCTTCGAGAGGGAGCAGAAGTCTTCAGAGGTAAGAGAACGGGGCTGCGCTTGCCGGCCCTACTTGAGACCAGCCTCTTGTCTGGCCCTCACCCACCCCTCACCGGGCTCCCTGGCTGCAGGTGCCCGCGCGGCCCCCTCAGTGCTCCGTGGATTCCATCAGCCAGGGCTCCTGCGCTTCCAGCTTCTCATCCGCGTCGCTGAGCTCCAGGCAAGAGGAGCCCAGAAAGTTCTACAGGGAGGTGAGGCCCCCGGACGAGGGCAGAGAGGGGTGGGGGGCGGCCTGTGTTCTGGGGGCCAGTTAGAGAGCCCCTGGGGCAGCGTGTCTGCTGTGGCGAAGGTCAGCGCCCTCGAGGGAAGCCCGGCCAGCCTCACCCTGCTTGTCCTTCATGGACGGACGTGTGTGTGTGTGTGTGTGTGTGTGTGTGTGTGTGTGAGAGAGGAGAGAGAGAGAGAGAGAGAGAGATGGGAAGGGGGGTATTCTAAGAAAAGTACAGGTAAAGTCACCTGTAGGTCCACTGCTTTAAGATCATTTTACGAAGTAAATTCTCTGCCCTTATCCCCCTCTCTGTCAGCACCCTTGTTAACCTGATGTGTCGCATTCCTGACTTCCTGCAGAGTTTATGTAGACGTGTACATGTTCTCACACATTGTGCTTTGTAAAAGCTGACTCATAGCCTGTCTTGTTTGTCTGTGTGTTTTTTTCCGTCTAACCTACCTTAGACCTTGTCCATTGTCAGCCCACAGAGCAGACCATGGCGTGGATGTGCCCATCCCCTGCAGGTGGGGAGCCCTCACTGACTCCGCCCCGGGCTCCTCCTTCGCTGTCACCCCCAGGCTGTGACCTGCTCTCGGAGGGCCCAGTAAGCCTAGCTCGATGCAGAACCGCAGGAAAGAAAGCCAAGAGGCGCGCTCCAGAGTCTGACAGAGGCCTGGAGTCGTTCCTGGGGGGGTGCCCTCCCTCATGGTACCTGTAGCTGGCAGATAATGAGAGCTGAATAGATGCAGTTCTGAAGGGTGGCTGCCCTTGTAGGAAGCGCTCGTGCTCCCAGGTGGCTGTCGTCCCACCGTGCCACATGAATGGCAGGTCATCTTATAGACCTTATGCGGAAGGTGCGGGGGATGTGTTTGAAAGATACTGAATGAGATCAAGAGACACATGAAAGCTACTAGGTTTTCAGAAGGTTTTTATTATTTCTATTCTTATTGTATTATTATAGTTTTCCTTACATTCTTTTTTCTTTTATTAAGGTAGAAAAACTTTTAAGAGCCACTGCTGATGGAGACCTAGAAATGGTGAGTTTTTAGAAGTGAATTTCAAGCAGCTTGCTCTCGGCTTAAGCAGCTATGCTTATGTGTCTTGTCTCCAGGTGAGTCAGGAGCTGTCAGGGTTCTTTGTTCACGTTCACACAGAAGGGGTGCATTTCATGAGTACTTGCTGATGGGATGTGACATGCCCCCTGCAAGTAACGAGGCAGGTGGAATAAAGCTGCAGTGTGAGCCTATCCCTGCCCTTCAGACATTCATATTCCAGGAGGGCAGCGATGTTGGCAAGAGGACCAGCCTGTGTCCAGGGGCACAGAGTGCGGGCTCGGGGCCAGAGTCCACTAGCCGGGAGCAGGGTGAACAGACCGGGTGGGGAAGGGTGGAGGTGGTAAAGGGGAGGCCAGAGCCCAGAGGGCGTTGGTGTGGCCCTGCAGGAGTTGTGGGCGGTGTGAATCCCTGGCTGGGAGGCTGAGTCTCAGACTTGGGGCTCCAAGGACTCGCAAGTGTCCGAACGAGATGGTGCTAAGGTGTCAGGGAACATCTATGATGAGATCACTGAAGACACCCATGGGCAGTTCCCCTGGCTTGCCTTTGGCTTCCTGAAAGGAATTTTTTTCTGTCTTCCACTTTAAAAGGAGGGGTAAATTAGCGCTTACCAGATTAGGAGGCCTGAGTGGATCAGATTTACAAGAGTGCTTCACAGGGATGTGTATTTTAAGAGTGCTTTTTGCCAATGATGGAGCTTGAGGTGGTGGACAGCAGTTCCTGGCATCTGATCATCACAGCCTGCGGGGTGTTAAGAATCGGAAGGTAGTTAGCAGTGTCTTAGCCTCTGCCCAGAGGCCACTGTGAATCCATCAGCCTGACGCGTGGTTACTCGGGGCGGGGGGAGGACACAGGCGTCTGGATCTGGCTGTTGCTCCCCTAGAGAGACCAGCCCCAGGGCACCCAGTATTCTTGGGGGGAAGCAAAGAAAGAGTTCCTCAGGCTCCCTATGAGCCGCGGCAAGAGCCAGTGTGGAGAAGAGATTGTGACCATCCCTGCGTCATGATGCGTCTGCTCTGTGCCCGAAGCTGCCGCCCCTTGGCTCCCTTCCCCCCGTCTTGTTCCTTCTAATCACCGAGAGGAACTGCCCTCGGTCCGGTCCGTCCCAGCCAGTCTGTTAGGTGAGGCCCCTGTTCAGGTGAGGGCTTTGGCGTTTCTACCCTGAGGAGCATCTGTTGTCAGAAACGTGGAAGGGACCTGGAGCGGGGGATGTTTGGGATTGAACGGGGTCTTCCTGGGGCCCTTTGTCACTCCTTGCAGACTTTTGCTGACTTCCTCAGTGCTCAGAACCAGGCCTAGAAATGTATTTATATTGTTTTCTTTTCTCACGTTTAATATCCTAGAAACTTGTGTTTACTGGAACATAAATTTGACCTTTTAGGGGTCTTTTCGGTGCTTTCACCTGTGGGCTAGGGCATTAAAGTGGAAAGGACACTGGCGTGGCATCAGAGAGCCTGTGATTAGGTTCTGGCCACCACCTCCTCATCCTGTGGCCTTGAACAAGTGGCCCCCGGAGTGAGTCTCCTCCCCCGTAGGATGAGACGGACCGGTTGTTGAAAGCAGACAGTTAGATGACGTAAGAGGAGGTGCTCACGAAATGCTCCAGGACAGGGCTCTAAAGCCATCACACTGAAGCAACACCGCTCTGCCCCTTTTTAAGATGGAAGAAGAGAATCTGCCGCAAGCTGCAGAAACGGGAGCTCAGTCTCTCTCTGTCACTACTGAAAGGATTGAGAAAGGCTTGAGCACAGGTGAACCCTGGAATGCTCAAGAAGGAGCAGCCATCATTTATAAGTTACTTTGGTGGTTGAGGAAATGTATCAGTACGTCCTGATTAGAGAAGTGTGTGTGTGTGTGTGTGTCTGTGTGTGTGTGTGTGTGTGTGTCTAAGATACCATAACTTGTAAAGAAGCTGAGGATGGGTTTTAAGTCCCTATTTCTCCTTACTGCCCGGCGCCAGGTGCGTTACCTGTTGGAGTGGACAGAGGAGGACCCGGATGAAGTGGAGGATGCTGTCAGGGCGGTGGATCTTGAATTTTGTCACCCCTTGTGCCAGTGCCCCAAATGTGCTCCAGCTCAAAAGGTTTGGCTTTTCTTCTGTTGGGGGATGGGCAAATTCTTCTTTTTCCCCTTAGGAAAGTTGTCTGCTTCTCAGCCAGCTAACGGCCGAGTGGCTGGTTGTAGGTGTCCCCTGAGATACAGCTCAAGGTAGAGGAAAGTGGACACTCATGCAGGATCTGGCTCCGGCTGCCTGCTTTCTGAATGGGCAGGTCAGGGAACAGGGCCATGAACGCGGGCTTAGTGTTTCAGTGGTTTTCAGGGCCCCTGAGTCACAAGGCAGGAGCTTATGAACAGACATGCCCGGGGGTCTCCGTCCATGTGGCCGTGGTCCCTTGGGAGGATGCAGGCAAGAGCCCCTGACCCCTGCCTTTGCTCACGTTGGTGCACCCTCTGCGGGAGGACCCTCCCTCCAAGCACAGAGAGACCCCTGTGCCTTTTACCCTGTTTCCCCCATGGTAATAGCCTGCAAAAGCACAGTACAATATCCCGACCAGGATATTACCATGGATACAGTCCATCCGTCTCACTCAGAGTTCCCCGCTTTCATTTGTGCTTGTCTGTGTGTGTGCGCGCATGCCTGCATGTGTGTTTATTTACGTGTTCTGTCTAGTTTTGTTTTTTTCTTTAATTGCGGTATAGTTATTTTACAATGTTGTGTTAGTTTCTACTGTACAGCAAGGTGAAGTAGAGTTCCCTGTGCTATACAGCAGGTTCTCATTAGTTATCTGTTTTATACATATTAGTGTATATATGTTAATCCCAATCTCCCAATTCATCCTACTCCCCCTTTCCCCCCTTGGTGTCCATACATTTGTTCTCTACATCTGTGTCTCTATTTCTGCCTTGCAAACCGGTTCATCTCTACCATTTTTCTAGATTCCACAAATATGCGTTAATATATGATATCTGTTTTTCTCTTTCTGACTTACTTCACTGTGTATGACAGTCTCTAGGTCCATCCATGTCTCTACAAATGACCCAATTTCGTTCCTTTTCCTGGCTGAGTAGTATTCCATTGTATATATGTACCACATCTTCTTTATCCATTCCTCTGTTGATGGACATTTAGGTTGTTTCCATGTCCTGGCTGTTGTAAATAGTGCTGCAATGAACATTGGGGTGCATGTGTCCTTTTCTTAAATAATTTATTAATTTATTTATTTTTGGCTGCGTTGGGTCTTTGTTGCTGTGCGTGGGCTTTCTCTAGTTGTGGCGAGCAAGGGGTACTCTTCGTTGCGGTGCACAGGTTTCTCATTGCGGTAGCTTCTCTTGTCGTGGAGCACGGGCTCTAGGCACGCGGGCTTCAGTAGTTGTGGCACACGGGCTTAGTTGCTCTGCAGCGTGTGGGATCTTCCTGGACCGGGGCTCGAACCCATGTCCCCTGCATTGGCAGGTGGATTCTTAACCACTGTGCCGCCAGGGAAGCCCTGCATGTGTCTTTTTGAATTATGGTTTTCTCAGGGTATATGTCCAGTAGTGGGATTGCTGGGTCATATGGTAATTCTATATTTAGTTTTTTAAGGAACCTCCATACTGTTCTCCATAGTGGCTGTATCAATTTACATTCCCACCAACAGTCAAGAGGGTTCCATTTTCTCCACACCCTCTCCAGCATATATTGTTTGTAGATTTTCTGATGAAGCCCATTCTAACTGGTGTGAGGTGATGGCTCATTGTAGTTTTGATTTGCATTTCTCTAATGATTAGTGATGTTGACCAGCTTTTCATGAGCCTCTTGGCCATCTGTATGTCTTCTTTGGAGAAATGTCTATTTAGGTCTTCCACCCTTTTTTTTGGCTGCGTTGGGTCTTCGTTGCTGTGTGCGGACTTTCTCTTTTGTCATTTCAAAAATTCTTTGCAGCGAGCGGGAGCTACTCTTGCGTTGCGGTGCGCGGGCTTCTCATTGCAGTGGCTTCTCTTGTGGTGGAGCACGGGCTCTAGGCGTGCGGGCTTCAGTAGTTGTGGCTTGTGGGCTTCAGTAGTTGTGGCAGGCAGGCACAGTAGCGTGGCGCATGGGCTTAGTTGCTCCGCAGCATGTGGGATCTTCCTGGACCAGGGTTGGAACCCATGTCCCCTGCACTGGCAGGCGGATTCTTAACCACTGCACCACCAGGGAAGTCCTTACGCCCAGTTTTTGATTGGGTTGTTTGTTTTTTTGATGTTGAGCTGCATGAGCTGTTTGTATATTTTGGAGATTAATCCTCCGTTGATTCGTTTGCAAATATTTTCTCCCATTCTGAGGGTTGTCTTCATCTTGTTTATGGTTTCCTTTGCTGTGCAAAAGCTTTTAAGTTTCATTATAGGTCCCATTTGTCTATTTTTGTTTGTATTTCCATTACTGTCCTGCATTCTGTTTAGTTTTATCACATGTGTAGGTTTGTGTGTCCACCACCACATTCAAGGTACAGAACAGTTCTCTCATCACAAGGAGACTAACTCATGTTGCCTTTTATAATCACACCCACCTCTCTCCCTGTCACCCCAGCCCACCATCCCTGACCCCTGGCAACCACTAATCTGTTCTCCAGTTCTAATATTTTGTCATTTCAAAAATGTTATATAAAAGCCATCATACAGCATGGAACCTTTGGGGATTGGCTTTGTTCACTCAGCTGGATTTCCAGGTTGTTGTGTGTAATCAGTGGTTTATCCTGCATCGCCGGGCAAACTCCAGACACACCGCTGGGCTAGAAGAACAGTTCTGATTTAATCACAGCATGAAGCGATTTACTTTTGTGTCTCTTTGAGAAACTACAAAAAGAGAAAAAGTAGGCTTTAAAAGAGCAAGGAACATAAATTTATCCAATAAATTCAACAGATGCTGTAGTGTGTAATTCAGTTTCTTGCTACAATTAATGAACTGTGAGGTGGGGGAGAGCAGAGTGGGTAAATGCCCAGAAGGACAGCAAAGACACAGTAACTGCTTCCAGCCATACAGTCACTGATGGGCCTGAGGGCTGTGCTACTTCATTCACACCACATCCTTTGAAACAGCATCTGCCTTTTTAATCCCTTTGTTTTTCACATTAGCCCACCTTGGGGGAGTCAGTTTTGGACTGTACATATCCAGCAGCATGCGGACAGCAGAAAAGTTATGCATCCCAATGTACACAATACGCTGTAGCTGAAAAAGCTACAAGTGAATGAAAATCTATAAGTCATTTCAATATTCTTAGGTTAGAGACATCCATGGTGAAGCTTTTTAAATAAGGTAGTATTATCTTGCAGTACAAGTCAAATTAATTTTCTTAGCATGGGACATACACATTGAGTTAGACAGCTAGCACATGAATGAGCACATGCTATGTATACAACGCCATTTACAACTGCTCAAAAAAAATATGAGCTACTTAGGGATACACTTAACAAGACATGGACAGGATCTGTATGCTGGAAATCACAAAATGATGAAAAAAGTCAAAGAATGTGTAAATACTTAGGTATATCAGATCATGAAGACTCAACCTAGTAAAGATGGTATTTCTCCCCAGATTGATCTACAGTAGTTTTTTTGTTTTTGTTTTTGTTTTTGCGGTACGCGGGCCTCTCACTGCTGTGGCCTCTCCTGTCGCGGAGCACAGGCTCCGGGCGCGCAGGCTCAGAGGCCATGGCTCACGGGTCCAGCTGCTCCGAGGCATGTGGGATCTTCCTGGACCAGGGCACGAACCCGTGTCCCCCGCATCGGCAGGCGGACTCTCAACCACTGCGCCACCAGGGAAGCCCTGATCTACAGTTTTAATGCAGTTCCTATCAAAATCCTAACAAAGTTTTTGTAGACATAGACAAGCTTATTTTAAAATGTATATGGAAAGGTGCCGGCCCTAAAATATCTAAAACAATCCTGGCAATGAAGAATAAATTAGGATCACTCTACCCAATATTAAGGCTAACTATGTAGCTACAGTAATCAAGACAGTGTGGCCCTGGTGGAGGGACAGACACACAGATCACTGGGACAGAACAGAGAACCCAGAAATAGACCCACACATATATAGTCAACTGAGGTCTGACAGCAAGCCGGTGGGGGAAGGACAGCCTTTTCAACAAACAGTGCTGGAGCAAGTGGACATCTTCAGGCAAAAAAATGAACCTCAACATAAACTCACACCCTGTACAAAAATTAACTCAAAATGGATCACAGACTTAACCGTAAAATGATAAAACTTTTAGAAAAAAACAGGAGGAAATCTTTGGAACCCAGGGCTAAGCAAAGAGTTCTTAGACTTGACACCCAAAGCATGATCCATAAAGAGCAAATGGATAAGTTGGACTTCTAAATTGTGAACTTGTCCTGTGGAAACCCATGCAAAGAAGCTATACAGGCAGATTACAGACTAAAAGAAAATACCTGGGCTTCCCTGGTGGCACAGTGGTTGAGAGTCCGCCTGCCGATGCAGGGGGCACGGGTTCGTGCCCCGGTCTGGGAAGATCCCACGTGCTGCGGAGCAGCTGGGCCCGTGAGCCATGGCCGCTGGGCCTGCGCGTCGGGAGCCTGTGCTCCGCAGCGGGAGAGGCCATGGCGGTGGGAGGCCCGCGTACCGCAAAAAAAAAAAAAAAAAAAGAAAATACCTGCAAGCCACATATCTGACAAAAGGCCAGAATCTAGAATATATAAAGAACTTTCAAAACTCGATAGTAAAGAAAGAAAACAAACCAATAAGAAAATGGGCAAAGGGAATGAACAGACATTTCATTGAGGAGCATTTAGATATGGCAGATAAGCACATGAAAGGATGTTCAAGGTCATCACCCATCAGGGAAATGCAAATTATAGCCACAGTGAGATAACACTATGCGCCTATCAGAATGGCTAAATCAAAATTAGTGAAAAGTGACGCCACCAAATGCTGGTGAGGATGTGGGGAACTTGTTTCACTCATCCATTGCTGGTGGGAATAGCCACTCTGGAAAACAGTGTTTGTTGTCAGTTCCTTATAAAACTAGCCATAGAATTGCCATGTAATTACCATATGATTCAGCAGTTGCATTCCTGGGCATTTATCTTAGAGGAATGGTAACTTATGTTCTCACAAAAACCTGTAAACAAATGTACACAGCAACTTTATTTGCAGTATCCCCGAACTGGAAACAACCCACGTGTCCTTCAGTGGGTGAACTGCTAAACAAAGTATGGCAGGGGCATGCCACGGGGCGCTGTTCAGCGATAAAGAATAAACCGTTGATTACATGCAACACCTGGAATCAGGACATTTGGTAGTCTCCTGTTTTTGGCTTTGTGAATAAAGCAACTGTAAACATTTGTGTACAGTTCTTTGTGTAAATATATTTTTACTTGGGTAATTACCTAGGAGTATAATTGCTGGGTTATGCAGGAGGTATATGTTAACTTGAAATGACCAGTTTTCCTCAGTGATTGTAGCATTTTTCATTCCCGCCAGCAGGGTGTGAGAATTCTAGTTGCCCCAAATCCCGGTGAACACTTGGTATTTTGACTTTTTAACTTTAGCCATTCTGGTAAGTGTGCAGTGGTATTTCCTCATGTTCTTCCCTTCTACTTCTTCATCTGCTTGTTTTTGATTTTTGAAGTATAGTTTATATACAGTAAAATTCACCCTTTAAATTTAGCATAGCTTTTTAAAGAGATAACATTTTTAATCATCGAAAAGTGAACTAGATAACCCAAGTTTTAATCCTTGATCAATCACAGGAAACATTGACATATTAATTGCACTATCAAATATATGATTCAACATCACAATTTAATGTTTGTTTTTAGTTCTATTGGTTTGTTTTGTTTGCCCTCTTAATTACTGATGGATTGTTCTTATGTCCGCATGATTGGTTTTAAAACCATTGTGAATAAAAGGGAAGTTCCATGATAAAAATGAAGGTGAACTTCAGAGATAAGTAGCAAACAGTTTTCTGAGGTTTGACAGACGAATGTGTAACCACCAGCACAGTAAAAATATAGACTATCTCTATCACCCCGAATATTCTTTCCTGCCCCGTTGAAGTTTGCCGTATTGCATGTTGCATCCCCTGACCATCACCGACCTGCTTTCTGACCCTTTGGTTTTGTGATTCCTGATTTTGATTTGCATTTCTCTGAAAACTACGGATGTTGTCTTATGTGCTCATTGACCGACCATTCAACCGTCTTCTTTTGTGAAGTCTTTTCACATCTTTTGCCTACTTTTTTTTTCCTTTTGCCTGTTTTTTTTTTAAAAAAGCTGGATTGTCTTATTGAGTTGTAAGAGTTTGTTTCGTTTTGCTTTTAAGTTCTGGTTGGTACAAGTCCTTTGTCAGATACACATATTTGCAAACATTTTTCTGCCCTTATATGACTTGCCTTTTCATTTTCTTACTTGCCTCATGCAAAGAGCAAACATTAAACATTTTTATTAAGTCAGTTTATCAAACTTTTTTTATGGCTTTTGCTTTTTGTGTCTTATCTAAGAAATCTTTGCGTATCCCAGTGTTGCAAAGATTTTCTTTTGTGTTTACTTCAAGAAGTTTAATAGTTGTAGCTTTTACATTTAGGTCTGTGATGCATTTTAGTGTTTGTGTTTGGTGTGAGGTGAGGGTTGATGGGCAGTTTTCCCATATGTGGATGTCCAGTTGTTCCAGCACCATCTGTCAAACAGACTTTGCCTTCCCCGTTCAATTGCCATGGCATAAAACGGTATCATTGTAGGGGGCTTGCTTTCTTGAAAACAGAAGTTAATCCTTCGATGTATCATACCTTTCTAAAGTAGTAATTCACCTGTGGGCAACCCGATTCAGGATGCCGCTGTGATTCCAGATTTTACAGAGGGGCTGTGAGGGACAGATGGCTTCAGTTCCTTCAGCTGGGTTCCTTAAGTACTAACAGCATTTCTGTTTCCACATTCTGCACTTATTAGAAGCTGGCAAAGATTCCTGCCAGTGGGCTTGGTGTGAATGTGACCAACCAGGATGGTTCCTCCCCACTGCACGTTGCTGCCCTGCATGGTCGGGCGGACCTCCTTCTCCTCCTCGTGAAGCACGGTGCCAGTGTGGGGGCCAGAGACGCAAAGCAGGCCGTCCCACTCCACCTGGCCTGCCAGAAGGGCCACTTCCAGGTATGGGTCCTGGCTCTTGCACAGCGTGTATAGGGTTAGAACCTCACTTGGCAGGAGTGCTGCCGAGGGAAGAGTTTGCTTGCTGGCCCAGAGGATGGGCCCATTTCCTTCCTCCCAGCGCCAAGATTCTGAGATGCACACGGTAGGACCACTCAGCAACAGAACACAGAACCCTGGGGCTTCTGGGGGTGGAGCCAACCCCCCTCCCACTGGCATTCACGTCTGGCAGCACAGAGGCTGTCATTCTGATTCTGACCCTAGCCGGGAGCTGTCTCTCTGATTCTTGGGTGTTGGTCATCTGTGCCAAACAGTTCAGTATCTATTTATTTTTTCATTTTTCCTTATTAGTTCCACTGTAAGGTTTTTAAAGCTAGGAGTCATATTTCGGGTAATGCCTAGCATTAGTTTTCTAACATGTGAAACTGGAGTAATAATTACAGCTCTCCACAGAGGAGACGGAATGATTAGATGAAAAACACGCGCGCCTAGCACACCACCTCCACACACACAAGACCCTCAGCAAATGTTAATCCCTCCCCCTTCACTGGTCTGCTTTCTCCTGAGGGTCAGACATGGATCTAAGAGTCTTCTAGAGAATCTTACAGAAAAGTCAAAAGAATAGCAAGTTAGATGATCTCTCCCTGCAAATTTTAATTAAAGTTGAACACTTTTCTTCTCTGGCCTAGGTGGTGAAATGTCTACTAGATTCTAATGCAAAACCCAATAAAAAGGATATAAGTGGAAACACACCCCTCCTTTATGCTTGTTCCAGAGGCCACCACGAAGTTGCGGCACTGTTGCTGCAGGTAAGGACCCCCTCGCCCCCAGCCCAGGAGCTGCTGACACGGCTTGGTGATGGGCATCCCGCCACGCGGCGAGCCTCTGGCGGCACACCGGGGAGGGGCGGGAGAGGGAGGCCGCTTGGCTTTTGCTTTAAGCTAGCCCTGGGGTGGGGAGCTTTGCAGTAATGGGGTCTCAGCGCCCGAGCTGCATCAGGGATGCAGAGTTAAGGACTGAGACGCCGCTTTTGCTAAGGGTTTGGATCTTGCCTCATTTAACCAGGTCAGTTGAATTGTCACCTGCAGTGTGAGCTGAATGTCCCTTTATGTCACTGCTCCTTTTTGCCTCTCTTGATAAAGGGTATATGTGTTGATTTTAGAATTTTTAAAAGTAGAGAGAAACCCAACTTTTCCATAACCCTGTTTTTCAAAGGCAACTAACTTTGGTGACTTCTTAAAAATGTGCATAGTTTAGATCACTATTGTTTTCTTTCTTGCTTGTTTTAAGTTAACATAGAAAACTGTTTATTTTATTTATTTAATTTTTATAATTAATTTATTTTATTATTTATTTATTTATTTATGGCTGTGTTGGGTCTTCGTTGCTGTGCGCGGGCTTTCTCTAGTTGCCGCGAGCGGGGGAGCTACTCTTCATTGCGGTGCGCAGGCTTCTCATTGCGGTGGCCTCTCCTGTTGCGGAGCACAGGCTCTAGGAGGGCAGGCTCAGTAGTTGTGGCTGGCGGGCTCTAGAGCGCAGGCTCAGTAGTTGTGGCACACGGGCTTAGTTGCTCCGCGGCATGTGGAATCTTCCTGGACCAGGGCTCAAACCCACGTCCCCTGCATTGGCAGGCGGATTCTTAACCACTGGACCACCAGGGAAGTCCGAAAATTGTTTATTAAAACCTCAGTTTTTAGTGGTTGCATAATTATGGATGTACCATGGTCTTTTTTTTTTTAACTGTTTCTGCTCAATACATTGAGGTGACTTATTTTTTCTCCTGTTATAATGATAAATGCTGCCATGAATATCTTTGTACACAAATCTTTTCTCCTCAGTATTACTTTTACTCCTAACATCTTAAGAAAAATTTCCGACATACAGAAAAGTTGAAAGAATGTTATAGGGCACACCCATATAGGTACCACATCGATTCAACATTCCTTCTGATTGTGCCGTTTCTCTCTCTAGCATGGGGCCTCCATTAATGCTTCTAACAATAAGGGCAACACAGCACTGCACGAGGCTGTGATAGAAAAGCACGTCTTCGTGGTGGAGCTGCTTCTGCTTCATGGAGCATCAGTTCAGGTCTTGAACAAGAGGCAGTGCACAGCTATAGACTGTGCTGAACAGGTAGGTGGGAGCGCTTCATTGCTGAGAGCATCCCAGGCTCCCTTACAGCTCACGGGGATCCCCTGTGTTTAAACCAGATCTGAAAGAGCAGTAGTCAGACCTCTGACTTGCCGTGCCAGGCTGAGTAGGTGTGCTGGAAGTCTGTGAGTGTGGCTGCATCCCTGGTCCTTGGTCACCTGACCAGAGGCGGCCTGCTGGGGCAGTTTTCAAAGGCCTGGTTAGAGGTGCCCCCTACCCACCACAGGCCTCGGCGCCTCTGGCACACAGTCCAGCAGTTAGGTACTCGCGGGGAAGAGCAGGTTGACACAGCATCCTGGTCTCACCCTCCCTGCACTGGGAATATGCCTGTGGTCCTAGCAGCACGAGGGAGGGAGTGTGTGCAGTTAGTGAACAAACCTTGAGTTCTGTAAGGAGAAGTATGATGTGCGGTTTACTACCCTCCCAGTGCATGGACGTGCGCCATGGAGAACTGGTGAGGAAAGAGGAGGAGACTAAAGGAGGGACCTCTTTATTGTTCCTCTTTCCATGTTAAATCTTTATCTAGTTTCCTACTCAGGTAGACAACTACTAGGCTGTTAAATGACACCACTGACATATTAAAGTCACCATAAATCCAACCTACTTATAGGCTTAGTATATTAATTTCTAATTTTCAGTTGTGTTTCTTAACAGAATTGAAAAATTTTATACTTTCAATTTAGCACTCTCTCAAATGACGAATATCTTTTATTGAGCACTTACTATGTGCTGGGCGCTTGATAACCTCATGATAACTCTACAGTAATAGATCCTGTTCTTGTCAACCCAGTTGCACAGAGCAGTGAAACACGGGCCCAGAGTACCACCTAGTAGAGGGCAGAGCCAGCCCCCAAATGCAGTGCTGTTCTTCACCACTAGGCTTTATGGCCTCAAAGTTTTGTCTGTAGCTGCTTCTTAGCTTTTCTGCCCAGCCATGCCAACACTGACATTTAGATCAAAACCAGGCAATAACCTGCTAAGAAAGCATACAAAACGTTACTGTTACCTTTTTCCTTTCACATTGTAGAATTCAAAAATAATGGAATTGCTTCAGGTAGTTCCAAGCTGTGTGGCCACGTTAGATGATGTTGGAGAAACAGACCACAACGAGTACGTTACTGTGAAGATCAGGAAAAAATGTAAGAACTCATATCCTTTCTGTAATTCTCAACTTGGGTTTATTTGGAAGTTCATGAGTCGTTGGCTGCTGGTTTTCACTTAATTGTAAATGTAAAACAATTATAATCATGACTGGGGGTGGGATATATGCACCAAAGAAATGCATGTTATATCCTGTTTCATCTGTCCTGTAACATACATTTCATCCAGAAATGTATGTAATATCCTTTTTCATCCATTATTTGGATACTGGTTTTCTGCTTGACTGTGATGCTCCCTAAAGAGGTAAGATGGACACTCTGGGCATTACCCTGAAGGTCAGGCCTCCACTCGCCAACCAGGGAGGAGGAACCACCTCTGGTAGTTTCTTTCATGTCTCATGTTCTGAATCCAGGCCTTTTTCTCAGCACTTCCTGGACACCTGGGGTAAATGCTACCTTTAAAGAATTCTTTTTTAATCTGCAGGTGTACAGAGGTAGATGGTCATTAGAACAGCAGCTGCCAAACAGGGGTGGGGCTGAAGTATTTTCCTCTTTTTTAAAAAGTTGTTACAGTTTAGATGGGGTCCTTGTTCAACTTTTTAAAAAATTGCAATTGTAGTTTGCAATGCAGTAATGTGAATAAGCCCATTCACACATCTGGATAATCCTGAGGCTGTCTCACCCTAGTTGGCTGTGCCTGGGGAATATCAGTGTATTAAGGATTTATCTTTGTTTCATGGGGGTTCACACAGTAATAAATAGGTATCTACTAATACGTTTCTGTAATCAAATGCAGTGCTTAATTTCCTAAATTTTGTTGGACTTTAACAGAAAGAAGGTTGAAAGTTTGCATCTGTGCTATAATTTTTAAACAATTCTGAAACTAGTTTGGAAGTTTTCAGATGTTTATCCTTTTATCTACAGGGAACTCCAAAATGTATGATCTACCAGATGAACCTTTTACAAGACAGTTTTACTTTGTCCACTCAGTTGGTCAGTTTAAGTGAGTATAAGATTCGAGTTGATTTCTGTGCTTTTGACCTTAGCTTTACTTACAACTCAAGCAGGTTATATGCAGCTTTAATGGGTTATAAATAAATCTGCACTCGTCAAATGCTGCCGCCTCGTGGCCAACCAGAGTATTTCGCACCACTATCCCTAACGTTTATTTTAGTTTGTTTTGGGTTTCAGGGGAAGGACCTCAAGGGAGATTATGGCAAGAGATAGAAGTGTCCCTAATTTTGCTGAAGATTCTTTGCATGAGGTGAGTTATTAAACACTGGCTTATAATCTTACTTTTTCAAGCCTGAATTTTTCAAAACTAATCCATGGTAAATACATTTCTCATTTCATTATTCCCTTCACTGATGAGAGTTACTAACAATTAAAATGAGTTCCTTAGCGGCATGGTCACTTATTGTTGTATTTAATAATGCGTTTCTGAGCTGAGAAAGGAAAGTGAAGAAGAAGTGGGGACTAGTTGTACTGCATGGAAAGATGCTGCAGTTTACAGCGTGCATACTAGATGAACTCTCACATTTTACTGTGGAAGCAAATTCACTAATGTGTTAATCACTAATGTAAGGAAGAAAACACATTTGTATATAGATGGGTAAAAAACTTCAAGTATGGTATAAAGTTGCTCGTGTAGACAATTCTGTATGTGGCCATCTTCCTATAGCACTATTTAATTCTCCTGCTTTACATTCTGTGGTGTTTTTAGGTGGCTCTTCTCTGAACACCTGGCTTGGCTTGGCTTGTTTTTTTAATTGAAGTATAGCTGATTTACACTGTTGTGTTAGTTTCTAGTGTACAGCAAAGTGATTCAGTTACGTATTCTTTTTCACGTTTTTTCCATTATAGTTTATTACAAGATATTGAATATAGTTCCCTGTGCTGTACAGTAGGACCGTGTTGAAACACGGCTTTTCTTATTGCTGCTTGCCAATAGAATATATGCCTTACTTATGAGAAATCGAATTTATAGTATGTGCGGCATAGGCTTGTTGGAACAAATACACTGAAGTTCTAAATCTTTTAGAGAATTAGTGATTTTTGTTAAGATGACTCATTTTGATTTCACAGTTAATCTTCCATGGCTTTGCTAATAGACCTGCTGCTGGCCGGGAAACCTGCAAACTTTGAAATCTGCCTGGGTTCAATCAAGTGTTAGCGTTCCCCTTGATAGCTGGGGGACTTAAGGCAGATTGCTTAACTTTTGCTGCTCCTGTTTCCTCAGCTGTATGTAAAATGGGGATAACAATAGTACACACTTGTTAGAGTTGTAAAGATTAAACGTGAAAACATGTAAAGCGTTTACATTGTGTCTGATACATGGAGTGCGCAAATGTCATACTTTCACCGCAGGGATGTTAAGAGTTGAAATTATGCCTGGGAAGTACTGAGCACATTGGATGGCACATAGAAGCACTCTATGGGAGCTGTTATTGTGTGGGTTGTTTCAAGTATAGCACAAATGTGAACTGTTTGAATCATACCTTTTCTTTAGCCAGGGAGGCAAAGAGTCACTCGGAAGCAGAATAACCTGCCAGACCAGAGCAGCTCTCAGACAGCTGACAAAGGAAACGATGGTCAGCCGGAGAGGCCTGGACCGAGACAAACTGCTCCTGGACAAAGGCGAATGCTCCGTAGACACATAGTCAATGATGCGGTTGTACCCAAGGGCCCAGAGACTGCTGGCAACCTGACCACTCCCCAAGAGGCTAGCATTTCCCAATCTTAATAGTAATAAGGAATTATCTACTGCCAAGAAGCGAGTCCTCAACAAGAAGATGCCAAGCATGAGTACAGCTTAGAACTAAACGAACTTACTGTTTGTCTTGAGAGAAAAGCAGAAAGGTCCTGAAAGCTTTTCTGTGGCAGATGGAAAGAATGCAACAACAAAAAGCTATCACCATCTCTTTCCTCTTCAAAGCTAATGGATACACTTGAAAAAGAATGGACAAAAGTTCCAGTAGTGTCCAGATCCTTAAGACGCTTCTTCTTATGTATTAGGGTTCCTTGGTTACAGCGAGGTTTCATCACCAGATTCTGACCTCCTTCTACTGAAAGGTGCTAGACTTCTGGGATGTGTATAAACTTGCAAACCACAGCTAAAAGAATTCCTCCCTCTGCGATAAGCTGAAGAAAAGCAATTTAGGTTTCATGGTACCGTGGAGGCCGGGCGGAAATGTTGCATTGGAATGAAGGAAATAGGACCTGAAAAATGTCCCTTTGCAAGCAACACTTGAACCCAAAGATGCCTAAATGCCATTTTGATGCTCATTTTAGTTGAAAGGACACACATGACATGTTCTACACTATGTATGTGGGGAAAGTTGGGTATAATTTTTCTTCTAAAAAATTAAGTACAGATAATTGATCACTGCACTTATACACCTGTAGCAGTGTCTCTGGAAAAATCCCTTTCCGTTAAGAGCCTCCCTTAAATGTCACACCTGATGGATGGTTCCTGAACTATACAGTAGACTTGGCACACCTTTTCTTAGTCTTTTGATTCAAAAGATTCAAAACTTACAGCACAAACCAGGTCAAAGTTACCTTAAATTAGAATTTATTACCATTTATTCCTTTTTATAAATTTCTATAGCTTATACTCATTTTTTTTGTTATCAATTGGTCTAGAGCTGCAAACATGGGTTTGTCCAGAGTACATTTTCAAACAACTTTGTAATAGGAAAATGGTTCTGTGCACGTTCTTGGAAACACTTGCGTATGTACAGAAGGGAGGGGCTGATTATTTTTCTACAAAGTAATTTATGATTTTTAATTTTCTAATGTGCCTTGGACATGTGCCAAATGATGGAAAAGAAACAGTAAACTTTATGATTCTTGAGCGTGTCATGGTGTACTTTTTTGAGTTTGTTTTGCTAGGGAGATGTGTTTCTCAGCCTTTCTGCTATAAACATGTACTTTGTATATGGAAAAATCTTCCCCCATTGGATGGAGATACATTTTATTTTTCAGTTGTAGATATAAGTACGACTGAAGCATGTAAACTGGATCATCTGGAGAGCATTACCCATGTACCCTGAGTAGGGCTGACCTAATCCGGTAAGCTCGGTGTCTAGGGCCCCCACAAGGATGTCTGAATTTCCTTTAACATCAGAAGAGCAAAACCGAATATAATACAGCTTCTTAGCCCAAACAGGAAACAAGCACTGTTGCTTTGCAAGTTTCTTTGTTCTATTTTTACTCCTTTCCCCCACTTTTAAACAAAACCACCTCATTGACTTAAGTTGCTGTACTTCTCTACCATCCTAATTAAGAAACTTGACCCTATGCAGTTTATCAGCACGGCCATTTCCAAGATGCAAATACATATATTTGACACCACCTAATTTTGGGGGTGGTGCAATATAATATTGAAAACTTTCACATATACCCCCAATTAATTTCTAACAATTGTCCTGGCTGGTAGAATTGTCAAATGAGGAGCCAGGTTCATGGAAATAATAAGGGGGCTAATTTGTTTGCACCGTCAGAGCTGGGGTCAGGCCCTGGCTGGCAGTGTCACCTGAATTGGCAGATTCCAGCTCAGTGTGCCCTTCATCTGGAGATGTAAATGCCATGAATGGGACTGTCAATCTTAGGGGAGAAGATTCCTCTTGAGCTACTTTGGTAATCAGCAGGGTGAGCAATCTGAAGTGATTACCTCAATTATTTTTAAAAACACTTGTGTTTTTCTCCAATTACTTTCCCACTTAAAAATAAATTTGACAATTCAGACATTGGTAATGCCCAAATTTCTGTTTTGTGTAAGAATGTTCTGAATTCAAAGTTAAATTAGAAAGTTGAGAATAACCACCCCCCCACCCCGTGGACAGAAACGTACTCCACCCCCTTGATGCAATCAAGAACCTCTATCCTGGGCTTCCCTGGTGGCGCAGTGGTTGAGAGTCCGCCTGCCGATGCAGGGGACACGGGTTCGTGCCCCTGTCCGGGAGGATCCCACGTGCCGCAGAGCTGCTGGGCCCGTGAGCCATGGCTGCTGAGCCTGCGCGTCCGGAGCCTGTGCTCCGCAACAGAAGAGGCCACAACAGTGAGAGGCCCGCGTACCGCGAAAAAAAAAAAAAGAACCTCTATCCTTGTACACCGAGTCATTTTCCATTCTCGCGTATGTCTGAAGGATGGGAGGTTGACAATCTTTAAACACATTCACATTGGCAGCTCCATCAGGACAGTGGTTATTCTGCAAGAGAAAGTGTGTAGCAAACTTGCTGAGAATTGTCTAGCCTCCCTCCAGCATTTCTATGTAAATGAGACATAAAACAAGATGTACCTGTAACTGGGATTTTTTTTTCAAAATCCTTGATCAGATTTTACTTTTGATGATTTACTCTGATACTGTGAAAAATTTTTGATGTTCTTAATGGTTCTACTCATTCGTTTATTCAGGAATACTAGACACTTTATTCTAACACTGACGTGCTTCAGCATCTATGGTTACAAATTTCAAGTCTCAAACATAGTAAAATCTCAAATACAGTTTAAACATATATCAGCAGTGTGCTAGCTAAAGCAGAGATTGGGATTGTAAACCACATTTCCCATCACTTTCCTGCTACTAATCCTATCCATCTCATTAAATGTTATGAACTTCCTCCAGGGCTAGGCCTCCCAGGACTAAGACATCTATCTACAAGGTTACACCAAACAGCTCACTTGGGAGTTCAGTGTATTTATTTATTTTTGGCTGTGCTGTGCGGCTTGCGGGATCTTAGTTCCATGACCAGGGATTGAACCCGGGCCACCGCAGTGAAAGTGCCGAGTCCTAAGCACTGTACCGCCACGGAACTTCCTAGAGTTAAGTTTACGATTTAAATTTACGAGCACAGTTTTTCATAACCTGGTGGGAGTAAAGCACAATATAAGAGATGACATTTTTAAAAAATATATTTATTTGGTTGCGCTGGGTCTTAGTTGCAGCAGGCGGGCTCTTTAGTTGTGGCAGGCAAACTCTTAGTTGCAGCATGCATGTGGGACCTAGTTTCCTGACCAGGGATTGAACCCGGGCCCCCTGCATTAGGAGCACGGAGTCTTAACCACTGCGCCACCAGGGAAGTCCCAAGAGATAACATTTAAGTTACCTGCAACCTTATCAGTGAAGACCCAGAACATTTCTACCAAAACGTTTAACCACTAAACTGTCTCAGCTGGATTGGAATCATTTAAAATCATTTCTCTTACAAACATGTTTACTAGTGCTGAAGTATACTACCAGCATGTCTCAGTTATTTTGGTAATTTTTTTCCAATGGATGTATCCTCTAGTTACAGAGGTTGTTTGGATAGGGGTCATATTTGTTAGATAATTTAGTCTCAATGCCTTTGAAAAGCATATTATAACTGAAACCGAAGCTAGGAATTTTCCCACATTAAATGTAAGTACTATCTTCAGGAAGAAAAATAGCTTACCTGCTTTCAGAACCTATGTCTTGGAAATATTAAAGTTGACTCAGCTTAATCCATGCGTCTTAAATCCCATGATGTTACTGGACACTCTGCTATCTCCTTTTTACTGAAGATGATCGAGCAGCTTCTATTTCTGCTAAGGCCACTTTCCCACCTAACACTAATGTCACAATTACAAAGGATATATTCATGCTGCTACACATGTTCAAAAGCTTTTGATAGGAAAGGAAAAAATTGAAAATGCAGGTCTTCTGTTCATTCTGCTATGGTTTTAAAACAAGTCTGTCCAAATTGTTTTATTTTGCATAACAAGTTTATTTTTAAAAGGCATATAGACAGTAAACAAAGTAAACATCCCATCGAGATCTGAACTTCAGCCAAGTGTTATCTGTCCTAGAATTGCTCCATTAAGTTCCAGTCTCTAGACGTCTTAAATTCAATAATCGTCATCTTCATCAGAGTCCATTACTTTTCTTCTGCTGAACTGGGGGGAAAATTAAATGAGTATCATAACATGTTGCACAAAGCATAACTCAGACTTTCTGAGAACACAAATTTCTACCTACTACAGGGAGACATTTCTGTCTGTCTTTAAAACAACTTAGTGTTTCAAAACAATAGAAGAGCCTTGAAAATTAGGCCCTCAATATATGCAGCCTTTCTCCCCAAACTTCCCTGTGTTATAAAATGAAAATGTCTATAGGCTGAAACATGTTTGATACAGTACATGCAGATGCAATGCTTATTTAAAATATCAATCTTTCTTTTGCCGTGTGCATTTGGGGAAACTTACTTTAACTGTTGTTTTCTTTTCTGTTTGTTGGCTTACTTTTTCGAGGATTTCTATTAAACCTTGTTCTGATACCTAGGATAACCATAGAGAAAAACAGTAGTTTTTTAAAACAAAGAATTGACCTCAGCAGACTGAATGGTTTTAGTCCTTCCGGGGTGCGGGGTAGAGGTCAAGAGGGAAGGAGAGTGGGACAGCGGGCTGAAGCCACTAGCTATAACTCTTGGTTTAAGTTCCACATAAAATCTGCTCTGCTAGTCTTCATTTGAGGGAGGAAAAGTATCCATCAGTTAGCTTCCTCGAAAAATACAAAATTAACAGGTACTTAAGAACACCTTCATCACCACTGGCAGACAATGACAACCACCTACACCACTGTGTTAAGTGTCAGGGACAGAGATACACCATCTCTGCCCCTGAAACCTTGAGAAGCTTAAAAGCAGGAGACGAGTCACTCAAAAAAGGTGAAGCAGTCGTTGTCTCTTCCACACACATTCTCAGTGTAAGGGGTTCAGGGCGGGCTGACCCCTGTAGGCTGTGGTGGCAGCAGAGAGGCCTTCCCAGTGCAGGTGGGGCTCATCTGGGTCTTGAAGCAAGGTCAGGGATGCAGAATATACCCATCATGGCATTACAGCAACGCACATAATAACCAGGAGTTTTAGCACCTCTTCATTTGCAAAACAAGCGTAACTGTACCTGTTTTAATTAGTATTACTGACAAACCTTGTTTCCAGTGTAGAAGCAATTTAGGCTAGCTGCCCCTAATAGTCACTGGTTCCATAGCAATGTCAGAAAAGGAAGGAAGCAGAGGATTTTAGAAAAGACAATGAGTTATCTTTTAGGAAGGATGGTAGATACAACTATTCTCTCCTTTAAAAATTGCTTCAACAAGAATTCTGCAACCAGAAAGAGATAAAACTGACCTTCTGAAAATGTTTTCATAAAGTAGGTAACAACAGTTTAAAACTGCCTCAAGGCAGTCCAAGCTTACCTTCCCACTTAGTTGTCCATACCGTGCCATCTGTATAAGGTAATTCTCTACTGCTTTAGTTTTCTCAGGCTTTACAAGTGCTAAGTTACTTACTAAAAAGGAAAAAAAAAAAAAAATCTACATACACACATACACGAAGAAGTCAGAACTAAATGCACTTATACCTTGAAACTAAGCACTGACATTTCCAAAGCCCTTCGGACTTATTCACGTCTTGAGACTAGCAAGGTGGATAAGGCAGATGCTACTGTTACTCCTCTTAAAAACGAGGAAAACTTGAGTTCAGCTGTGTCGATCTCAGTCAAGACCACACAGAGGTCATGGCAGAGCCAAGATTAAACTTGGGTCCTCAGATTCTAAGCTCCACGCTTAAAAAAAAAAAAAAAAATGCACTACTGCCCCCTGAAAAGCAATTTATATATTACTACACATATATAATCATAGTGATTCATCTAAGCCTGCCTCTTCTAAGCTGGGCTTCAAGTTACAATACAGAAGATACTGGTTCATTCTGATGGGTCATTTAATATGTTTTTCTACATGGTTTTTCTGAAAAATTTTATTATGAAAAAACATACACTAAAATGGAGAATACAGGCATATCTCATTTTATTGAGCTTCACAGATACTGTGTTTTTCACAAATGAAGGTTTGTGGCAACCCAGCTTGGAGCACGTCTATTGGCATCATTTTTCCAATAGCATTTGCTCACTTCACACCTTTGTGTCACATTCTGGTAATTCTCACAGCATTTTTGAACTATTATTATTCTTATATATGTTGTGGCGATCTGTGACCAGTGATTTCTGATGTTATTGCAAAATGATCGTGACTTGCCGAAGGCTCAGATGACGATGAACGTGTTTTAGCAATAAGGTGTTTTTTTTTGCAATAAGGTATTTTTAAATTAAGGTATGTACACTGTTTTTTTAGACATAAGGCTATTGCACACTTAATAGACTACAGTATAGTATAAACTTAACTTTTATATGCATTGGGAAACTAAAAAATTTGTGTGACTCGCTATACTGTGGTGCTCAGGAACCAAAGCTGCAATATCCCCCAGGGTCTGCCTGTAGAATAAACCAGAGCCCCCAATCACCCGTGTCAACTACCAGCAACATTCTGTGACTGACTCGATTTAAGAGTTGTTTCCTATAAATTTTACCTAATACAGTCATCCCTTTGTACCTGCAAGGACCCCCTGAGGATGCCAAAATCCGAGGATGCTCAAGCCCTTATATGAAACGGTGTAGTACTATCAGCCCTCTGTATCTGTGGATTCTGACTCCACGGATACAGAGGGCCGACTGTATGCACTTGGAGATCATCTCATTGGTAGGAGAGAATGGAGCTGGTACTTCTAATGATGATTTAAGTACATTTCTTTAGGTTTATAAACTTAACATTTCTTACAAATAATCTGTATCTCACGCTTTAAGGTTAAACTAATATTTAATCTAGAGATAGCAACACTTTCATATGTATCTCCCCATTCAAATAACTCAAGCCAATTTTATGGAAATAAAGAAAACTGAAGATGCTTACATCGGGCCCGGGCTGACTGATCCAGAACTTGGGCTAAGATACTGTTCCTCATTTCTGCTTCCCTACAACAAAAACAGGTCAAGCAAAATTAGAACTAAGCTGTCAGCATTCCTATTGAACACAGAAAAATGTAACGAATCCACTCTTACACTCAAAGGCCAGCATTGTATTTTGTGAGTGTATATCTTTATATTTTGCGGTTGAAAGGTAAAACTTCACATTTTCCTAATCAGAGTGGAGTTTCAGTTCAACCACGGTTATAAACATTTATTAAGTACCTCGTGAGAGGTGCTAGAAATTTATAGTGAGATTTCAGGCAATTACAAGGACCAAGTGATTAATCCCTGTAATTTTCTTAGAGATAAAGAAGCTGAGGTCCACGGAGGAAATGTTAAGGAGACAGAGGTAACCGTGGCCGAGGTAGGACCAGATCCCATATTTGCAGACTCTCAGTTCTAGATTTTGGGTTGGGAGGGGAGTTAAATTATAACTCTGCTTCTGTCCTTACATCTTCCTACCTATCCACGTAGGAGCTATTTCAAGTTCACAGGATAGTGGTTTCAAACTTTTTTTAAGCAGAAATTGTTTTTCAAATGAAGCTCTTCAAGGAACTTAATACGTAACACAGACAAAAGCAGAGATTCTTCGGCTGAATTCGAAGGGGAGCTCGGGCTGGCTGTGCCTACTCATTGCCCCCATCTGAGGAGCTCTGGGGTTCACGGAACACAGACTGAAGCCCACTTCCATACGCCATTTCCTTATCACTCCTGAGTACTGCAACCCTGCCACGAACTATTAGTACATTTCACTAAATCTAAGAGGCCAGAGTAGAAAACACACCATAGTTTTCTGTATCTCCAAGAATGAAAAACACCCTAGATGAGGTGTCTAATAGGAGACCCTCACTCAAAGCTGGGGTATCATCCCAGAGCAACATCCTCAATACACGGTAAACAAGAAATAAACCCGCTATGCAGAAAGGAACAGCAAGGAAGTGTGCGTGCAATGACCTTGGCCCTGAGTGGAGGAAGAAAAAAGTGTCTCTGAGAATTTGAACTTCAAGCTGTAGTCTTGCAGGTTTGCTGTTTGAATTCACAGCACCAGTGTGGAGAAAGGGGGAACCTCAAGCAGTGAATTTTTTTTTTCTCTTTTTTTGCGGTACGCGGGCCTCTCACTGCTGTGGCCTCTCCCGTTGCGGAGCACAGGCTTCAGACGCGCAGGCTCAGCGGCCATGGCCCACGGGCCCAGCCGCTCCACGGCATGTGGGACCTTCCCGGACCGGGGCACGAACCCGTGTCCCCCGCATCGGCAGGCGGACTCTCAACCACTGCGCCACCAGGGAAGCCCTCAAGCAGTGAATCTTAAGAGGTCTCAGGTTAGAAATGACCCACGTGATGGCAGAAGCAAAAGTAAATCCTCTTTGGAAGAATCCAGGACAAGAGCAATCAATTATGAGACATTCGAATGTCAGATATGTTAGAATGTGAAAAAAAAAATGCACATCTTATAATCAGTGAAATTCACGCAGTAGTTTTATTTTCTTCTTAGCACTATCCCAGGTGCTTACCAGCTGTCTTCTCCCTCTAATGTAAGCTACGCAAGGGCAGGAACCTTCTCCACCTTGCCTATCTCTGTAGACACAACAGTGCCTGACCGAGAGCAGGTGCTCAGTATTTGCTGGATGAACGAATGAGTTAAAAGGTAGCCCTGGGAGGTATGGGGCAGGGGCAGGGCATGGGGAGTTTAACAGGCATAGTTTCAGATTTGCAAGATGAAAAAGTTCTAGAGATTTGTGGCACAACAACGAGAATATAGTTCATATGACTGAATTATACTCTTAAAAAGAGTTAAGATGGTAAATTTTATCTTATGTGGGGTTTTTTAAATCAGTTATTAAAAAAAGGTAGCATGATGGGGTAACTAGGCATTCATTCAATAAACCTGCCAGGTGTGAGGTGCTCTGTGATATTCTGGGATAAAATAACATTGAGAATAGAATGACAGTTAATACTACTGAGCACGTACTAAATGTGAAGCGCTGTACCCCTGCGATCCTCACCACATACCCGTGAGGTACTCTTATGATTATGTTGGTTTTAAGGTAATCACAGTTTAGCAGAGAAACATCTACCAGTAATTGCAATACAAAGTAATAAGTAATGTGGGATTCCATACATGTTTATTTAACGAACATAACAACAGTGATGATGATTTCTGGAAAAATCACTATGCCAGGAAGATCTTTAAGAGTCACACACCTATTAAGGTGACTAAAAAAAAAAAAAAAAATTGGGTGAAACCATCCTTCAAAAAGTTCAGAGTTCCCACAGACACAGAGAACAGACCAAGAGATCGGTGTTGGGAGGTGGGCCAAATGAGTGCAGATTATCAGAAAAGTATAAACTTCCAGTTATACATAAGTCATGGGGATGAATGTCCAGCATGGTGACTACAGTTAATAATACTATATTGCATGTCTGAAAGTTGCCAACAGAGTAGATCTTAAACGTTCTCATCACGAGAAAAGAAGTTTGCAAGTACGTGTGGTAATGCATGTTAACTAGACCTACTGTGGGGATCATTTCACAATATGTACAAATCTGGAATAATTATGCTGTACACCTGAAACTTACGTTGTATGTCAAGTACTCCTTAATTTAAAAAAAAAAAGAGCCACTACATTAAAAACAAAAAACAGTTCAGAGTTCCAGCCCGTACCTTTGCTTCGCTTCCTGTTGTGCTACATCGCCAGGGTCCTGAAAAAACAATTTTATCTTTTAGTAATTTCACAGAGGAAAAAAACAGGAACTCCTATTTTCTTTCTGATACCTAACAGGCTCCTGCAGTGGTAGAGACGGCTTACGAAATAATTCAAAGCCGGGCCTCGCAAAAGTCAAACTGAATAGTTTCCACTTACTACAACGTTTTGATAAGCTTCTAACATCACAATCTAAGAGAATGTTTTAGAATACAAACAACCATTAGGGTGAAGAGTCCTTGCTCTACGAAACCGTCTTTTACGTGGTAAGAATAATTTCTGTAAAATAATTTCTGTAAAAGAAAATGTGCTTCGGTACTGGGGACGCTGAAGATTCAAACAGCCCTTCCTTCCAGACCATCCCACTCCACCCCTAACACATTACTCCCCTCCTCTTTGCAGTAGAGCCCTTACTTGGGCGTTTTAGCTACGGGATTAGTTTAGTGCCTGGCCGTCCCCGGGACTGTCAACTCCATCAGGCGATGTTCCCCGCTGTACCCTCAGCACCTGGCACACAGCAGACCCTTGGGTCGGAACAGTTAAATTCCAGAAAACATTCGGCAGGAATACTAGTCGAAGCAAGCTAGATCCACGAGCTAAAGGCACCGAGAGACCCGAGGGGCTGAGAATTCTGTTTGGAACCAATGCCTGCCCGGACGAGAACCAGTCCCTGCCCGGGAGAGGCCCGCGCCCGACCCGCCCAGGGCAGCACATGGACCGCTGGCCGCCCGAGACCCCGCGCAGCGGGGAAAGGGGCCGAGCCTGCTCAGAAGCGACCAGGAGGCCACCGGCGGCGAAGGCGGGGTCCTCGGCCGCGAGGAGAGCTGGGGCGTCGGCGCCTGGAGCCTCCGCCCGGGGTCGCGCCTTCCACCTCGGGTGAAGGCGGCGCCCCTCAGGGGACGGGCCTGGCGGTGGGGTGGGCGCGCTCACCCCGTGCTTGGCCTGCAGCTCGGCCAACCTGTGCTTCCTCAGCGCCTCGAGCTCCTCCTCCGCCATGGCGCGGCCGTCCGGAGCGAGCAGCCGCTGCCACGCTCTCACCCACTCGAGAGACCGCTAGCAGCCCCTCAGCGCGCGCGCCACCCTCCCCACTGCGCAGGCGCCCGCAGCTCCCAGGCATCACCAATCCAGCCCGGAGCCGCGCCGCGCGCCCCAGCCAGGGTGCGGGGAGAGGCCCGATTCCGCGATCGCTGGCCGCGGCTTGCGGGGAAGAACCGCTGCGCGGAGCCTTCCGGACTTCGGTTCCACCTCCCCGCTGCAAATCTGTGCTCTGCGCGCGCGGCCGCCAGCCGGGCAAAGATCTGGCTGCGTGTGGGAAAAGACAGTAACCTGGAAACAGGCCATCCTCAACAAGTATAATAATAGGTAAAATTTGTTGGTGGCCTGTAATGTGCTGGTCTCCTGTTGTCTTCATTTACAGATGAGGATCCGGGCGCTTAGAAACGCTAAGCGGAGTGATGGAAATGTTCTAAAACTGGGTGGTGGTGATAGTTGCACAATTTTAAAATTTGCTCAGAAATATTACATTGTACCCTTAAAGTGGGTTGGGGGTGGGGCTGGAGCAAATAGAGACTCTCTGGTCATCCTGCCGTTACGAAGCCAAGTTAAAACAAATTTGGAGGCTGAGAGTCGGAATCAGATGGGCCTTTCCTCAGAGGTTGGCTTGGGGGCTGTGGGATGTGGTGTGAACTCCGGGACACTCCACACACACACACACACACACACACACACACACACACACACACGCTGTCCTGAGGCGCGCGGGCGTGCGCGCACACACACACACACACACACACACACGCGCGCGCGCGCTGTCCTGGGGTGAATTCCGTGGCGGTAAAAGCGCGCCTTTGGAGTGGGGACATTGGTGTGTGTTGGCCGGAATGTCAGCTCCCTAACCCTGTGTCATGCATGTGCTGACTTTTCAGTTGTGACAAAATATAAAATTTACCACTTTAACCATTTTAAGTTCACAGTTAAGTAGTTTTAAATGCGTTCACCTTGTGCAATCTGTAGGACACTTTTCATCTTGTAAAACTAAAACTGTGCCCTATTCCCCCTTCCCCCCAGCCCTTGAACCATTCTACTTTGTGTCTCTGAATTTGCCTGTTATAGGTACCTATACAAGTGGAATCATACAACATTTGTCCTTTTGTGACTAGCCTACTTCACTTAGCATAATGTCTTCAAGATTCATCCGTGTGACACCGACCAGGGTTCTTGGCCTTCCCCAATCAATAGAAATTGATCAGAGGCGAGACAAGAAATTCAGGCAAGGCTTTATTGGGGCCCCTGTGCAGCAGGAGGGAGAGAGAACAAGTAACAGTTTCCCTTGTTCACTCTCTGGGGCTGATGAGCTTGTTCCTAATATGGGGTGAGGGTAGGGGTGTGTCCAGGGGTGGGGCCAGAGGGGAGGCTTAGGTGTTTTGCCCACCCCTTTGGTGGTGGTGACTGCAGGAGGCATGCACAGCACCCTGCTTATGCTCCCGACACCCTGTTTTTGCACCCAGCTCTTCAGAAGTGGCAGTTGGGCTTTTTGGTCTCTTTGTACCTTGTCCAGAATTTGCCCCAAATGCACATGTGCACAGTTATTTTTAGTCCCTATAGCTTCTTTGTATTTTGCTGCTTGAGGAGAGGTTTGTCCAGGTGCAAGCACTGCAGCAAAGGGTCCCAGGTCCCAGCCTGTCTCACATACTGTTGCGTGTGTCAGAATTTCTTTCCTATTTAATAACATTTTTCTCTCATATATATATATATAATATATATAACCACATTTTGTTTATCCATTCATCACTTGGGTTGTTTCCTCTTCTTTAAAAAAAATTAATTTATTTTTATTTTTTAATTTATTTTTGGCTGCTTTGGGTCTTTATTGCTGCGCGCGGGCTTTCTCTAGTTGTGGGGTGCAGGGACTACTCTTCACTGCAGTGTGCGGGCTTCGCATTGCGGTGGCTTCTTTTGTCACAGAGCACAGGCTCTAGGTGCGCGGGCTTCAATAGGCACACAGGCTCAGTAGTTGTGGCTCGCGGGATCTAGAGCGCAGGCTCAGTAGTTGTGGCACACGGGCTTAGTTGCTCCACAGCATGTGGGATCTTCCCAGGCCAGGGCTCGAACCCATGTCCCCTGCATTGGCAGGCAGTTTGTTAACCACTGCGCCACCAGGGCAGCCCCGGCTTGTTTTCTCTTTTTGGCTCTCCTGAATAATGCTGCTATGAATATTGATGTATAAATATCTCTTTCAATTCTTGGGTATAGAGAATCCATGTGTTTTGAATTTAAACAGGCAAGATTTTGCGGGGAGAGATGATAAAAATGGCAGTCTGGAGTCGACTTCTATTTCCGGGTGTCACGTTTTGAGACCCTTTGTGGACAGGCTGTACAATGGGCCATGTGACGGGTCATGTGACTTCCACTCACAGGGGAAGATGCAGCCCTACCTGGGCTGATGATGCCTGAGTGGCACACACCCATGAAGAGGGAAGGAAACCAGATAAGCAGAGACGGGGCTTCTCACCTCATTCCTTAAATAAAAACTACATTCCCAATAGATTAAATATTTAAAGGTTTAAAAAATAAGTCACAAAACAAAGATAAATTCTTTATGTAGTTGTGTGACTATTTTAGGGCAGATGTGAAAGGACTCTCTGTCAGACCGTTTGGGTTTCTTCATCAGCCTGTTTTCTGTTTCTTCTCAAGATAATTTTAATTGCTAGAGAACCATTCCTTTCATTCAGGGTTTCACATTTTAGAAACATCTGGCTATCACATCTGTATCTGTGGTCATATCCCTTTTAGGGATTGTTGACTTGATTGTTTATTTGGGCTATTGTTTCTTTGTGTTTCTTGATTATGCTTTCCAGCTATTTTAATATGTTGCTCTTTTTCTTTTTTCCCCAAGGACTGAAATTTATCAGTACTGATTACTTTCTTCTTTATCTATTTATTTCTACCTCCTTTTCATATTTCCACTGTTAATTTCTTTCTGATTCCTTCAGATGAATATTTGTTTGTTTTTATTCTTTCTTGTTTAATAATGAAAATATTTAAGGAATGAATTTACTTGTGAGTACAAGTGTGTGTGTGTATAGTGTTTTCAATTGTCTTATTTTTTTCTCTTTCACAATGTCTTAAAACATTTTCCTATTTTGTAAAGGTAATAATAATTTCTTTAAACCCTGGTCAAAATAATATGGTTAAAAAAAGTCAGTTGTACATGAGGAAAAGCAGCTATTCCTGGCCCACTCCTACCCAACCCAGCCTTAGTTCCCCAAAGGTAAAACTTGACCTCCAGCTTGCTCTGTAGTTATTCCTTCATTTAGTCTTTTATTAACTATCTATTGAGTGCCTGCCTTCTATGTGCCTAAGCAACTGTGTTAGGTACCAGTGTATAGAGAGTGAATAAAAACAGGGAAGCATCACTGCATTTCCCCCTACATAGTACTGGTGGAGTGGAGATATAGTATAAATATAGAAATAAAGGACAGAATATGTATATTAGTTGTGATAAGTCAGGTTCTACAGAGGAAAAAAAGTCAGGTAGTGGGGATAGAGAGCGGTGGATCAGGGAAGTGTTCACTGAGATGGTGACTTTTGAAAAAAGACCTGAAGGAGGAGAGACAGAGAGTCACAGAGACATCATATGGAAGAGAATTCCAGGCAGAAGGAACGGAAGGACCCTGAAGTAGGAGCCTGCCTGAAATGTTTAAGGAACTACAAGAGAGCCATTGAGGCTGGACTGTAAACTGCGTGTGTGGGGAGAAGGCAAATGCAGCATCAGGAAATGAATTAAGAGGCTATTTATTTATTTTTAAAATTTTTGTTTATTTATTTTTGGCTGCGTTGGGTCTTTGTTGCTGCGCGCAGGCTTTCTCTAGTTGCGTCGAGCGGGGGCTACTCGTCGTTGCGGTGCGCAGGCTTCTCATTGTGGTGGCTTCTCTTGTTGAGGAGCATGGGCTCTAGGCGCGCAGGCTTCAGTAGTTGTGGCATGTGGGCTCAGTAGTTGTGGCACACGGGTGGCTTATTTGCTCCGTGCCATGTGGGATCTTCCCAGACCAGGGCTTGAACTCGTGTCCCCTGCGTTGGCAGGTGGATTCTAAACCGCTGTGCCACCAGGGAAGCCCCAAGAAGCTAAGTATTTAAATAACATACCTATGCTATGATGTCTTCATTTATACAGTTTAGACATTTTCTAATCCCCTGATGGATAAGGATTTGACACACTCCACAACTCCTACTTTTCGTCCTTAGTTTCCTAATACACATATTACTATTTTCAGTTCCAAAGTTGTATATTGTTTAAGCAACACACTTACACCTTCTCTTTCTTATTCCATCAGGTATAGACAGTGTCTCTTGACTCCCAGCTTTAAAAGATGAAGATGCCAGCATCTCTAACCTTCCAGTAAGTTTGCATCCTTTTTTCTACATTCTCAGCTTCTATTATCTGTGCTTCTTATTATCTGTGCTACATCTTATTCATGTTCCAATCTGTAATCATAATTCAGTCTTTCTTTCCTTCCTTTTCATTGAGATATAATTGACCTACAGCCCTGTATAAGTTTAAGGTGAACAGCATAATGATTTGACTTAGATACATCGTGAAATGATTACCACAGTAAGTTTAGTGAACATCCATCATCTCCTATAGATACAAAAAAAAAAAAAAGAAAAAAAGAAAAAGGGAGAAAAGAAAAAAGATTTTTTCCTTGTGATGAGAACTCAGGATTTACTCTCTTAACGATTTACATACGTAGCATAAAGCAAAGTATAATATAATTATATGAATCATGTTGTCCATTACATCCCTAGGACTTCTTTACCTTATAACTGGCAGTCTAACTTCTGACCACCTTCATCCAATTCCTGCTCCCCTCAAACCCCCTTCCCCCTGCCTCTGGTAACCACAAATCTGATCTCTTTTTCTACGAGTTTGTTTGTTTGAAGTATAATTGACCCACAGCACTATGTTAGTGCCTGGTTCACAACATAGTGATTCAACATTTCTATACATTACAAAATGATCACCACGATAAGTCTAGTTACCGTCTGCCACCATACAAAGATATTACATTTTTATGGGCGATATGCCCTATGCAGTACATTTTGTCCTGTGACTCATTTATTTTGTAACTGGAAGTTTGTACCTCTTGATCTCCCTCAACCCATTTCACTCCTCTCTCCACCCCAGCTCTCCTCTGGCAACCACTTGTTTGTTCTCTGTATCTGTGACTCTGTTTCGGTTTTATCTATAACTGCTTTTCAGTTCACTTGTTTTGTTTTGGATTCCACATATAAGTGAAATCATATGGTATTTGTCTTTCCCTGTCTGACTTATTTCGCGGAGCATAATACCCTCTAGGTCCATCCATGTTGTCGCAAATGGCAGGATTTCCTTCTTTTTTATGGCTGCATGATATTCTGTTGTATACATATGCCTAATTTTCTTTATCCATTCATCCATTGATGGACACTCAGGTTGTTTCCATGACCTGGCTCTTGTGTATAATGCTGCAATGAAATTGGGGTGCCTTGTTTTTCTTTATCAAAGAAAACTGAACTTTTCTAAACTCTCCATCATATCATGTATTCTGACAGACTCTACTTTTCTTATCAGATACCTGTCTTCCTCCTCTCTCTTTAATCTGGACAGGTTCCTCTCTAGGCCTGTTGCATTCCTGTCGTTCTGGATTTCCCTTTGTTGCTATTTTAGGTTGTATCCCTGTTTTCTTTCCTGGTTTAACCCCTCATCTTTTTTTTTTTTTTTTTTTTAACCCCTCATCTTTTTGAAGCACATCTTCAAGTAGTTTTCTAAGAAAAAGAGCTAGTAGGTAAAATTTCTATGTTCTTGCATGTCTGAATATTTAATCTTATACTTTAATTCTTTGGTTAATTATAAACTTCTAGAAAAAAGAATTTTCCCTCTGAATTATTTTAAATTAAAAATTTAAAAATTATTTGCTATTTTCCCTTACAGCTTTGTTATGTATCAGTTGTATTTCTTAAATTCCTTACTTTTCATTTTGAAAAATATCAAATCTATAAAAAAATGGAAGGAATAGTGAAAAGAACACCTACATGTTCTTCACATAGACCCACTAATCATTAAGATTTTGCCACATTTGGTATATCTTTCTGTCTACACACATGTGGTGTGCATGCATACACACGCACACACACACACACAAATGCACATACACAGTTTTTCTGAACCATTTGAATGTAACTTTCAGATATCATGTCACTTCACCCCTAAGTATATATATCCTAAGAACAAAGACATTCTTATGCATAACTACACTACAGTTATTGCACTCAATAAATTAATGTAGATAAAATAATATCATCTAACTGATATACAATCCTCTTTTGTCTCTATCTAATTGTTCAAATAAACTTCTCCACAACTGTTTGTTTTCTTGTCAATCCATGATTCAGTTGTGTTTAGTAGTCAATCTCTTTGCAGGTATATCCCATCTGTTTTCTAACATTTGGTGTTAGTGATAAAAAATCTGAATTTTGTTCCTTCATAAGTGGTATTTTTTTCCTTGTGGAAGCTTTTAGAGTATTTTCTTTTTTTCCCAGTGTTCTAAAATTTTGCAGACATGTGGGTCTTTTAAAAGACCTTGTGCTGTTTGCTCCGTAGGTACTTTCAATCTGAAAACTTGTAACTTTAACCTTTTGGAGATTTTGTTGTATTGCTCATTTGATAATGTTTCCCCTCTGATTTCTATCTTTCTTTATCTGGAATGCCTGTAAAACTGGACCTCCTGGAAGGGTCTTCTGAGTCTCATTTCTTTCATGTCTCCCATCTCATGGTCTTTTTGCTCTGCTTTCTGGAAGATTTCTTCTGTTTTATCTTCTGGGCCTTCAATTCATTTCAGCATCATATTTTCATTCTGTAAGAGCCCTTTCTTGTTCTCTGATTGTGCTGTTTACTTAGCATCTTGTTTTTGATTTTGAATGCAATAACTTCCTGAATATAGTTATGATTATAATTAGAAGAAATTTTTAATTCTCTTCTATTTCCTGAATTAGTTCTCTTTCCTTTGAGGTTGTTTTTTTCCTGTTTGTGGTACTTTTTTAAGGCAGCCCTTAGCAAATGAATACAAATTTCTGTCTCTCTTTCTTTCCCTCCCTTCCCTCCTTCTTCCTCCCTCTCTCCCTCCCTTCCTTCTCTCCTTCCTTCTTCCTTCTTTCTCTTCCTCTTCCTCCTCCTCCCTTTTCTTTGTTATTTAATGGAAGAACTCTCAGGTGTTTCACTTGGAGAGTTGATCTTTCTGGAGGCCCTGCATTCTGAACGAGGGGAGGAGCTAAGGACTGGACTGTTTAAGACAGAGCCTTTGGAGTAATCCCAGTGTTTTTGGCCCGGTCTCACTTGCATACTCTGTCTTATGCATCTCTGGAATTCTGTAGGGAAGATCGGCAACCTCCTCTGTGGTGTGTCATCTGTCATTACTTCTGTATCAGCTTGACACAGTCTCACAATTTTTTTTTAAACTTTCTTCCACTGATGGACAACTTCCTGTTCTCTTTGTCATTGTGGATTTATTCCCATTTTAGTCCTTTACTATCATTTTTGTAGGGTCTTAGGGGGAAGAAGAGAAAAACTGAGTGGCCAGCCCATCATTTTGAAAATAGCACTTATTTTCTTGTCTCCAACTTGCAGTTTTGATCTTTTTAGCTGAGAAGTTATTTAGGAAGCTTGTATCAGTCAGGATGGGCTAGGCTATGCTGTATAACAAAACTCTCAAAATATTAATGGCTTAAAACGGCAAAAGTTTATTTCTTGCTCACCGAGGTTGGCTGGGGGCTCTGCTCCAGGTCTCCCCACTCTGAGACCCAGGCTAACAGAGAAGCTGCCATCTTGCTGTTACCAGTTGCCATGGCAGAGATAACCTAGTGAATCATGCACTGTCCCTTTAAGTTTCCACCCAGAAATGATAGCCATCATTTCTCTTCATATTTCATTGGCCAAAGAAAATCATTTGACTATTCTTAACATCAAAGGGGGTGAAGAAGTACAGTCCTACCCTGTGCCTAGAAAATGGAAAGCTGGAAATGTCTGTTGAACAGTACAATAAACCACCAGAAGATTGTAAAATTTCAAGTGTTTGAATTCTAAAACCTTTTACAACTTGAATTAAAAAAAAATTGCACTGGAATCAGAGAATGTAGGGTTGTATAAAATTCCTGAGATTTTTTCATTGCGTTATTTGTGACTGATTTTTTAAAATGCTTTATGGGATTGGGAAAGGTGTACCCTTTGTTGGTTGTAGACAAGTTTGACACATACACAACATGAAGCTATTTATATCTTCTATATACCTGTTAATTTTTTTATATACCAGATCTATCAAAGACTAAAGAATTATTTAAAGTTCTTACCATACTATTGCGTTTCTATAGATTTCTCCTTGTTTTTATAACAGTTTTGCACTCATATTTACCTTGTAAGAGTTCATAGTAGATATGCATTTTCTATTTTGTTTAAATAAGCTTTGTCTCAATTAATAGGACTTTTATTTTATTTATTTATTTATTTTAAAATTAATTAATTAATGTATTTATTTTTGGCTGTGTTGGGTCTTCATTGCTGCTCACGGCTTTTTCTAGTTGTGGTGAGTGGGGGCTACTCTTTGTTGTAGTGCGTGAGCTTCTCATAGCAGTGGCTTCTCTTGTTGCAGAGCACCAGCTCGGCACGTGGGCTTCAGTAGTTGTGGCACTTGGGCTCAGTAGTTGTGGTGCACAGGCTTAGTGGCTCCACAGCATGTGGGATCTTCCTGGACCAGGGCTCGAACCCATGTCCCCTGCATTGGCAGGCAGATTCTTAACCACTGCGCCACCAGGGAAGTCCCCTAATGGGACTTTTAAATTCTTGTTCCATTGCCACATGTCTTCTGTACTCTCTTAGGATCTCAAAGTGCTTTTTATAATTTTACAATTTTTTTTAATTTTTAATTTTTTAAAAGTGATATTGAATTTGGTGATGATTTCCTGGATATGACACCAAAAGCATAGGCAACAAAAGTAAAAATAGATATATTGGACTTCATTAAAATTAAAACTTTCAGGACACTATCAACACGATGAAAAGGCAACCTACAGAATGAGAGAAAATATTTGCAAATGATATATCTGATAAGGGGTTGATGTCTAGAATATAGAGAACTCCTACAATTCAACAATGAAACAAACAACCCAATTCAAAATGGGCAAAGGACTTGAATAGACATTTCTGCAAAGAAGATATACAAATGGCCAACAAGCACACGAAAAGGTGCTCAACATCACTGATTACTAGGAAATGCAAATCAAAACCACAGTGACAGGGAACTATATTCAATATCTTATAATAACCTATAATGGAAAAGAATCTGAAAAAGTATGTGTATATATCATATATATATATTATATATATATATATATATCACTTTGATGTACACCTGAAACTAATGCAACATTGTAAATCAACTATACTTCAATTAAAAAAAACAAAACCACAGTGAGATACCACCTCACAACCATTAGGATGACTACTATCAAAAACACAGAAAATAGCAAGTGTTGAGGAGATTGTGGAAAAATTGGAACCTTTGTTCACCGTTGTTGGGAATGTAAAATGGTGTAGTTGCTATGGAAAGTAGTATGTTGGTTCCTCAAAAAATTAAACATAGAATTACCATATGATCTAGTAATACATTTTTGGGTATATACTCAAAGGAATTGAAATCAGGGTCTTGAAGAGATATTTGCACACCCATGTTCATAGCATCATTATTCACAATAGCCATAAGGTGGAAGCAACCCATTCACCCATTGATGAATGAATGGATAAACAAAATGTGGTATAGACATACAATGGAATATATTCAGCCTTGAAAAGGAAGGAAATTGGAACAGGTACTACAACATGGGTGAACCTTGAAGTTGTTATGCTAAGTGAAATACGCCAGTTACAAAAAGTCATGTACTGTATGATTTTACTTATATGAAGCACTTAGATGCTGTGGACTGAATTGTGTCCACCCTAAATTCATATGTTGACGCCCTAACTCCCAATGTGGCTACATTTGGAGACAGGTTCTTTAAAGAGGGAATTATGGATGGGGCCCAATACTGCTAGTGTCTTTATAAGAAGAGACCAGGGATGCATGCACACAGAGAAAAGGCCATGTGAGGACACAGTGAGAAGATGGCCATCTCCAAGCCAAGGAGAGAGATCTCAGGAGAAACCAAACCTGTCAGTACTTGATCTTGGACTTGTAGGCTTCAGGACTGTGAAAAAATAAATTTCTGTATTTTAAGCCACCCAGCCTGTGGTAATTTGTTATGGCAACCTTAGCAGATTATATACCAGAGTAGTCAAATTCATAGAGACAGAAAGTAGGATGGTGGTTTCCAGGGTCTGGGAGGAGAAGGGAATGGAGAGTTATGTAATGGGTACAGGGTTCAAGTTTGGCAAGATAAATTCTGGAGATTGGTTGCGTGACAATGTGAATGTGCTTAACACGGCTGAACTGGACATTTAAAAATGGTTAAGATGGTAAATTTTATATTATGTATATTTTATCACAGTTAAAAATAAACATGTTTTAAATTGTGATAAAATATACATAATATAAAATTTACCTTCTACCATAGCCCTATTTTTCTCCTCTCCTTTATAGCAAAACTGAAAAAAGTAGTTTCTGTTTGCTATCTCCACTTCTTCATGGCTTACTTTCTCTTGAATCGTTCCAATTAGGATTTTCTGAAGCTGCCTTGTTCAGGGTTACTGAGATAATTTCAATCCATCAGCAGCAATGTTGCTCTCTCGCTCCTCCTTGAGGTACTTGCCCCGTGATCTCCTGGTTTTCCTCTCGCTTTTCCTTTGTAGGATGGGGCTCGCCCCTCCTCCTGACTAAATCTGCAAGTTACCCCAGGACTCTGCCCCAGGCTTTTTATACTCACCCCCTGGCAATCTCATCCAGTGCCACCTATACACTGGTGAATTTCAGGTTCTATCTCCAGCCCACCCTCCCTTGGAACCCAACGCAGAACATCCACCCGCCCACCCCACATCATCACAAGGATGTCGACCAGGCATCTGAAATGCATCATGCCCCGAACAAATCCTGACTTCTCCTTCAGAACCTGTCTCCCTCCATTGTTTGCCATCTCAGTAAATAGCACCACCTTGCAACCAGATTGAAAAACAGGCACCCTCGTAACTGCGCACCAGAGATCTTGGAGTCACCTTGACCCCCCTCTTTCTGTCTCACCCCACATCCAACTCACCCGAGTATCCTGTTCTCTGTCTTCAAAACCTCTCCAGGGCCCGGCTCCTCCCTGCCTCCTCTCCTACCACCTGCCTTGGCCAGGCAAGCTCCTCTCATCTGGATGACTGCGGAGGCTTCTGAGTTAAATGAACAAATGAATAAATGCTATGAGTGTTGAAATTAGCGATATGAAATATAAATGTGTATGCCCCAGGACGCCATCTGAAATGTAATTGAACGTTTTTCTCTGCAGGCTGCAGGTGAGAATAGGTGATCATATATCAGCATATGTAACCCAGAGATCTAGCAGTATGCCCGCACCCCTCTCACCCAGTAGCTAATGTGTACCTGGTAAAAGACCGCTAGTATCACCAGGAAGTCTGCAGACACACAGACGTGCATCTCTGTTGACTAACTGAAAGTACAGTAGTATGGCCGTTAGAACTTTAAGAGAGAAATCAGAGAATCTGAGACACTGACCACGCGAATAACCAGATTATCAGAGAATGAGCTGCTTTGCTTAGGATGGTTGATGGTTCTGAGAGGAGCAAGTGTGGTCCTAGTTTCAAAGAGTATGGTGTATGACCCACCCCCACCCCCACCCCCAAGCCGTATCCTCTTCCCATACCTATCTTGGTAGCAGAAACAGCTGGAGTTTAATGGTCTATTTATTTATTTAGATTTGGGCAAAAGGGACACGTCAAAGTTATGGCACTAAAATGTTTCTGCTCTTGGGGCGGTTACTACATTAAAACATCCTGTTGCCGAGAAGAAGCAACTCTTGAAGTTGGACCGGTGGTGGGAGGCTGAGAGTGGGGTGTGACCAGGTGTCTTGAGACGAGTTGCTTACTGATGGGCGGAAGGTGTTAAACCTTCTGGGGTGATGCAGTCTCCTCGGTACCACATGAGTCAGGTGCTCGCTGTGCTAGGACGAGGCAGAACCCAGAGCAGTAGGAAAACTGTTGGGAGGGGTCTGAAACAGAACTGGAGGAGCTTCTGGCAGTGGCTGTGTGGAAGGTAAAGAGAGAGAGAGAGAGAGAAAAGAAGAAGGAGAAGGGAAAGGAGAGGGAGGGAGGGGAGGGTCGCCACTCAGCGGGGAGGGCTGCCTCTCAGCATCACTCCTGTGACCTGTTTCAGGAGGGACACAGGTGATGTGGACAGGTCATTGTTGTGTTTTCCATCACTTGCAGTAGGGGCACAGATAGTCCCAGTGTCACACAGAGGCAGAGCCTACAGAGCAAGTCTATCCCTCTGAATGTTCAGCCCCATCCTTCTCCCAGGACAGGCCACCTGCTCTGCTCAGGTGCCCAGGAATCCCTTCGTGCATAGAGTCCTGATATGTCCTGCCAGCAGCAGAGGGAGCCCACACTCTACCGAAAGGGATTAAGTTTCTCATTAGAATACAAAGCAGGAAATACAATAACGGTGTTTTTTGCCACGCAGTATGTCCTTACAGATGAAGTTTTAATCTCCCTCATACATCTCCATTGCTGTAAATTCCTGCTCTATTATGGTACCCTATGCCGTGATTCCCTGGGAGAAAGCCACAGTAAGCTTGGCGGCGAGCTTGGGCTTCTGAGCTGTTTGTGCCGCGTGTTGAATCACATATTATCTCACACTTAAAGGTATGTCTCAATAAGCTCTTTTATATCAGTTTATTAGCCATGATCCTGCAGTTGATCAGTTATGTCATGGAAGGGTACCACGGAGCTCACCGACAATTACGGGACGTAAGAGGCAGAAGGAAAGGTAGGCTTGAAACACAAGAGTGCAGTTCATCGGATGGTCTAGCAGCTGCCGATTCGCCTTCTCATCTGTTTCTAAGTAATAGATATTGATGCTTCTCTGCTCAGAGCAGACCTGCCGTACATGCAGTTGCCCACAGTGCACAGAATGGCATTTTTTCGAAATCCTTTCCAGCTCACTGTTAAAGGCACGATGTCAGATGTCACGACCCACAAGGGTTACTCTTGGAGCTAAGCCACACCATCATTGTTCCTCACACCGTGCTCTTTCTGGGAAAAAGAAACATGTTCGCCTTTTGCCTCATTTCCCTCCCAAAGCAACTGACCAAGTTCTGAAACCACTCTTAGGAGGAAAAAAACCCCTCAGGTCCTGTATCCTTTATGATGACAGCTGTCATCTGTGCCTGGTGGGAAAGGGGGGGCAACAGGAAACATTTAGAAAACAGTTTTTCGCCTAAAACCCGTCATGGAGTCTTTGACTTCAGAAGCAGTTCCACTCAAGCTTCTGTGGCCACTTGCTGGGTTGGCAGCTTCTTTCTGAGGATGATCTCCATGCCACAGGGTGAGGGTACCACCGTGTTACCCTGACTAGGACCTCCTTCTAGCTGGAAAGCTAACAGGCACAGGGCCAGTCTAAGAGCTTCCCAGGCCCCAGAGGCTTCTTTTGGATCCCCTACTACAAAAAATGTCCAAAAAATGGAAATGTACCCCTATCCCACATCATGATAATGTATAAATAAATAATAAATGACAATATGGGCATGGAAACTAGTTGATGTATTATGTCTCCTCAAGTGTATTAATCCTGACATTGCAGTGTTTTCTCTATAGCTTTGTGCTGATACATTTTTTCCTCCTAGGCTGTGTACGTACCTTTGGGTCTTTGGAGCTCTCTGAGTCCTGAGCCCTGCTCCTTGAGGGGAGGGAGGGGGGCAGGGAGTGGAGAGGACTTGGTGCAGAGGATGGATGCTGAATGGTTGGGGGCCAAGATGAAGTTTGGTCCTAGCCCTCACCTGCCTGGTCCAAAGAGAACCAACCTCAGAGGAAATTAAGAGGACCCTTACCTGTCCTTAAATAAAGCCAGAAAGATTCTCACCTGTTTGTAAAAAAGGTGCAGAGAACGGGAATACCTTTTCTAGTAACATGCTCACTCATTCATTCATTCATTCATCCATCCCCTCATTCAAAAAGCATTTTTTTGGAAACCCTACTAAGTGCCAAGCCTAGCACTCGGCATTTGGGAAATAAAGGCAGGTAAGATGCAGTGCCTGCCCTCAGGAGCACAGAGTTCCTCAGTCCCTCTGTCCTGGGGCTGCTCTTGGTCAGCCTTCCAGGACCCACCCTTGCCTCCATAGCTTCCACAGATATATTCCTGGCTGTTATGAGCTGAGTTCTGTCCTCTAGAAATTTCTAGATTGAAATCCTAACTCCCAGTGCCTCAGAATGTGACTATATTTGGAGATGGGGCCTTTAAAGAGGTGATTAAGGTTGAGTGAGGTCATTAGGATGGGCCCCAATCCAATATGAATGATGTCCTTGTAAGAAGAGATTAGGACACAGATACACACAGAGGGAGACCACGTGGAGACGCTCGGAGACGATGACCACCTACAAGCCAAGGAGAGAGGCCGCAGAAGAAACCAACCCTGTTGACACCTTGAATTCAGACTTCTAGCTTTCAGAACTGTGAGAGAATAAATTTCTGTACTCTTGTTGCAGCAGCCCTAGCAAACTAATGCACCGGTTCCATAGGAGGCCCAGAAGACTCACTTGAACCTTTCTCAAGAGAAGAAAGAAAAGACACTCAGCCAGCCCCTCCCTGACCTGGTGGGAGCTTCTGCCAAAGGGCAGCCTTACTGTGCACTTACCCCAAAGCCCCTCAGCCTCATTTCTCCTCAGTCTGCTTCCGTCAGGTGCAGACACATCAGCGGGGTTTGGGGAGTTTGCTGAGGATGTGGGGGAGCAGGGCTAGGGGCTCCCTTTCCTCAGTCACAGTGATTTTTCTCTCTAGAATTTCCTGTGTGTTGTTCTTTGGGGGAGGGGCTTTCACTCTGCTGTGTCTACCCAGGCTCTGGGGGGACATTCAGTCCTCATTTTGCTTTCCTTCATCTTCTTTTTTTAAAAAATATTTATTTATTTATTTGGCCATGCCGGCTCTTAGTTGCAGCATGCGGGATCTTTAGTTGTGGCATGCGTACTCTTAGTTGAGGCATGCAAACTCTTAGTTGAGGCACGCATGCAGGTTCTAGTTCCCCGACCATGGATCGAACCCGGGCCCCCTGCATTGGGAGCTTGGAGTCTTCGTCACTGGACCGCCAGAGAAGTCCACCTCATTTTTCTTGACCCCTGGCAGTACTCTGGGTCTCTAGAGCTCTGGGAGTGCTTTTCAGCTCATGCTCTTTGCTACCTCTTGCTACTTCCCAGTGTCTGTTCAGACTGTCCACTGTGCTAAGAGCAGCTCTCCCACTCACCAGCCTATCTACTGCCCGACCCACTCCAGTCCCATGGTGGATATGCCGGTATCCAGCGTAACTGTTGTAACAAGGGCTCTTCAAACAAACCAAACTAAAGGAACCCTGATATGTCACATTTGCCACTTTCTGTGGTGTCAATGTTCCCATCGTGGCCAGTTTCAGGCTACCAATGTGAGGTCCCTGAACAGAGAGCTGAATTGAGAAGAGGTGTCCACTAGCACACCATTATATTGTATTCCCACCATCGAGATACAATAGATGTAAATAACCTCAAGAGCAAAGAAGGCAGTAAACCACAACAAAATAAAGTAACTAGGAATGACGTTTGGGGTATATATTACTTTCATATTTGAATACAGTTTATTTAATTGTAAGCTCATATAATTTAATTTTTTATAATGACTATGTTTAGCTTGCAGATTTTCTGAAAATTTAACAATTGACTCTTGCAAGCCAGTAGGAGCCGGCTCCAGCACACAGCTAGGGTGACAGTCCTCTGGGTGGAATAGGTGGTATATGGATGTGGCAAATGGGGCGGGCATAGTGAGCCATTGACCCTCGTCTGCGAGACCGTGTGGATTGTGAATAAACACCCAACCATCTGGAAGCCTCCGGTGGGAATGAGTAAGCAGACAGTGCCAGGGCCATGAAACAATTACAAGTCCTGTGGCACAGACTTGTTCCTAGACAGTCCTAAGCCCTGCCTCCATGCCTTGATTGTGTGTTTTCCTGGGTGGCTCTAGGTGGTCTCTCCAGGTGCACACCTCCATCCAGATAGCCGTGACCTCTCTCCTGGGCTACCCTGACATGCCCAGGCTTTCTCTGGGGCCTAAGTGACTTTCCTGGTCCAGGGACGCTATGGGGCACTGTGACCAGGACTGATATTTTTGGCTGTGCTGCATGGCATGCGGGATCTTCGTTCCCCCACCAGGGATCAAACCCGTGCCGCCTGCAATGGAAGCGTGGAGTCTTAACCACTGGACTGCCAGGGAAGTCCAAGGACTGGTTTTGAATAGTAAGGAGTAGCAAAACTCTGTGCCAGGGGCCCTACATCTCTTCTGTGGGATGCTACAGAGCAGGGTAACTTCTGGGGCTGAACTGTCTTCTCTGCGTCTCACTCACATCTGTTTCTTCCTAGGGTTGTGTCAACATGATTTCATTCATGAGAAATCGATCCCTTATTCCTTAAATAATTGTGCATTAACTACTATTGTAAAACCACCAAAGTTTACAATTAATATAAGCTTTATTTATTAAGTTATTATTAATTAAACATGTAAAGATTCTCTTTGTGGACTTCCCTGGTGGTGCAGTGGTTAAGAATCCGTCTGCCAATGCAGGGGACACGGGTTCGAGCCCCGGTCCGGGAAGATCCCACA